CTTGCCATCTCCCCTCATCTGTAATGATAGGGTACCCTTCGTCTGTCTCTTCCTCTCTTCAACTCTCACTCTCTCTCTCTCTCTTTCCGTCTCTCTCTTTCGTCCCCCTTCTCTCTCTTCCTTTCTCTCTTTTTCTCCTCTCTCTTTGTCATCACTCCAACTCTCCCTCTCCTACACCTCTCCCTATCTCTTTCTTTTTTTAACAAAAATGAATACAATCAATGAATTTTTATGAAATGTCTATATGTTTGATTATTGATTTATGTCATATCTTGTGTTATTTCAATTTGAATTGCAATTGTATTGTATATAACCTTGTGAAATGGATCGCAATTCAGCCATTGGCTGCGATGATCTTTTTACTAACCATTTCTATCTATCTATCTATCTTATTGTCCATTACATGGAAATTTGTTGCTCACTGGTCACAGATAAATAACAATGTAGTGACATTAAACATATCAAAGAATGCAAGAACAGTAAACAAAAAACAAAAAAGTTGTTGTTCAGGAATAGTAAGACATAAATAAATACAACAGGATGGTAATGGTAAAAAGTATAATTAATTCAATCTAATGAAATGGACATGGTTGGTGTCCTACCTTGAATATCACAGATCGACCACATGCTGGCATGGTTGTTTTTACCCTCCATGTGACTTTAGTCTCTTGAAAAGCCGAAAGCCACTGCTGCCAACTATCAATTGTTTTCGTCTTCAGGCGAAAGGTTGCCGAAAAGTTGGGACCATCATCATCATCGAAGGAACATACATGTATGTCCTGAACTAGATCGTCTGGCAATATTGCCTGCATGTGCAAAAGTCAAAGAATAAAATGATTACAATTTACAAACACACACAAACGCAGACAAGAAATGAAGAAGTAAATATTGATTATGAATCTATAAACTTAGCCCTAGGGCTAGGCCTATGAACAAATTTATAACAAAAATAGGTTACACTACACCTAGGGCCTAAGTTAGTGTTTAGCTAATTAACGGACAATTTGGGATGAAGTGTCGGCATAATTCTTTGAGTGCCGTTATTACAAAACCCCATTCATTGGCATTGATGTGTGCCACCCTCACGCTAGCTGCTAGTAGTAGGCCTACTCTAACTTAGTTAGGCCTAGACTAGGCTAGACCGAATTTTCCGTCTCTTTCGTTCGTTAGCCTAGCCTCTTATTGGGGTAGGGTCGGCCGGCTCTCTCTTTAGAGACGGAAGCCGTCTATACACATGCTCTTGACAACGCCACGGCCAACTCTGGTCGTAGCGTTTTGCCCCCAAAATCCCCCAAAATGTAATTTTACCTCATTCATTGATTATTTAAACTTAGGAGAAGGTTTTACTACCTCGGTTCCACTTACCAAATTTGACTGTATAATGCGTTTAATGGTCCCTTTTCAGGAAATTACGGGTCTAAATTGACAGCCGTGTTGAAAGTCATGCAGTGGTGTTCCGTAGTCTTCCTGCGTATGTTGTTATTTTTTATTTATCTAAATCTCATCCCTTCTAGTCTGTGCGCAAGGCAAAAATGATTATGAAGGAGATGCTGTGATAACGTCATTACGAACTCGTAGCTCGTGCACATTGATTTCCATGCAGGCGCGTACACAGGGGGGGGGGGGTGTTTGGGGGGTTAAACCCCCCCCTTTGGTATTTTTAAATGTGTAAACCCCCCTAATTAATTATTAAAAAAAAAAAAAAAAAAAAATCCAAAGGGGGGGGGGGGGTTTAGGAATTTTTTAGGGGGGTTTACACATTTAAAAATACCAAAGGGGGGGGGGTTTAACCCCCCAAACACCCCCCCCCCCCCTGTGTACGCGCCTGCATGGAAATCAATGTGCACGAGCTACGAGTTCGTAATGACGTTATCACAGCATCTCCTTCATAATCATTTTTGCCTTGCGCACAGACTAGAAGGGATGAGATTTAGATAAATAAAAAATAACAACATACGCAGGAAGACTACGGAACACCACTGCATGACTTTCAACACGGCTGTCAATTTAGACCCGTAATTTCCTGAAAAGGGACCATTAAACGCATTATACAGTCAAATTTGGTAAGTGGAACCGAGGTAGTAAAACCTTCTCCTAAGTTTAAATAATCAATGAATGAGGTAAAATTACATTTTGGGGGATTTTGGGGGCAAAACGCTACGACCAGAGTTGGCCGTGGCGTTGTCAAGAGCATGTGTATAGACGGCTTCCGTCTCTAAAGAGAGAGCCGGCCGACCCTACCCCAATAAGAGGCTAGGCTAACGAACGAAAGAGACGGAAAATTCGGTCTAAGACTAGGCTAGAGTCTGTTTTAATAGTGTTACATGTAATCCACGTACCGTATGGAAAATCATTACATCAACAATTAAAATGAAATTGGAAATCTGAAGAGAAGGCAGCACGTCAATAAGGAGAATATCACAATAATTAGTCAATAAAACTTACCCTTAAACGAAGAGGAACGTTATCCAAACACATCATGACATAATCTAGTTCGCGATGGATATTCAAACTTCTTCGCAGTGCTATGCGTATAGCGATAGAGCGGCAGCGCAATTGACTTCGAAAAGTGGCGCAATTCTCCGCGACCCTCGACAGCGTGCATGTCATGATGTACGTGTGTCGATTCGTCGAAAGTTGAAACATGACTAGTCTCGGCGTGCAGACACTATTCAGAAGGGAAAGAACGTACTTCCCATAGGTTTAACACGCACCATGCCCCAATCTGTGCCGCATAAAAAAATAACGCGGGCGGGAGGGGGTGGTAGCTAGTGGACCCCTTTAAAAAAAAAAAAAAAAATGATAAACACAGTCTTTGCTGCTTATTGATTTTAGTAGTTTCTCGACTTTAATTTTAACGCAAAATAAAATGTTCAGACAGCAATTATAGCTTCAGCTACTAACATGTTTAAATCTAGCGTGCGCAAAGCGCATGCGAACGATCTCGATCTCCGATAATAATTGCGATCAATATCGGAACATTGAATTTATGGCGATGGCGGAATTGTGAGATTAGAAGTCCCTGAGCAAAATCTTTCGTAAAAGCAGACATTGGATGTTTTTTCAACTGCAGACATGATCTGAAAAACAGGGTGATATTAGCATATGAGTAAGTATAGCTATGAGTATACTTAACGTTTGCGAATTGCAAGCTACGGTAGACCCTATATCAGAAAAAATAAATGACAAGAATAACACAAACACAACTGTCGAGTGTCGTTTTAAATCCGGACGGTTTCCTACTGTGAAGAAGTTACTTGGTAGGGCCTACATGTCATGATGTATAGTGGTATGGACGTGTGACCAAAGTTCGCGCGTGACCTAAGTTCGCTATCTCGAGAAATCAGTAAGATTTCGAAAATTTGATATCACCAATGGAAAGAGGACATAAAATTAACCAGAATTGAATTTTTCTTTGGAATTGGGTACGAAATTGTGAAAATATTGACAAAAAGATCGGCAAATTTTGCAATCTTAATTTTGTGTCCGTTCCGAAAAATTATCAACTTACGGTACCGATAAGGGTCTGAAAATCTTTAATTTGAGAGCAGATTTCCTCAAAATTGTAAGTAAAATGTGGTCTACCAACTGATTGTATGATATCTTGCCTCGTAAATTATGATAGGGGACGGTCTAGACTAGACCTATTTTTATTACCTTATATTTTTTTATGGATCACATTTTTTGATAAACTAGACTAGAGGGTCTAGACTAGAGTCTAGCCTGGCCTAGAGTCTAACTTAGATCTAGATCTAGATCTAGTAGAGGTCTATACTAAACCCCCGTGCGTGAAGTTAGGTCTCGTTTTGGGGGGACTTTTTTTAGATGCCATGTCTGCATGCAGCGCGCACACACGATTGGACATCGAATTTTTAGATCGCGATATCTCCAAAATCCTTCGATGGTAAATTTTCTAGTTGAACCAATCTGTAGATCTAACTTAGACTAGGCCTAGTAAAAAAAAAAAATTGCCGTCCATTTGGTTATAGGCCTAGGCCTAATTGAAATAAATAAATTTGTGTAGAATATGAGAAATTATAGATCTAGATCGAATAGTCTAGACCCTATCATATTTTCATTTTTTTGTAAAATGTTCTAAACTGTCCTAGAACTTTGCCCCCTTCATAAGTCTACGCACTGTTAAAGTTCTCATGAATGTGTCTGTTCTTGAGTGGGTTTGTTGAAATTGAATGACAGGTAGACTAATACTAGACCTATATTTTTTTTTGTGGACAATATCATATTAGACTCGAAACTAAAGGAGATAGCCTTATATTCATAGTGGTTAGTGTTTGCTGATATGTATATTTTTTGTTGAATTCATAATATGCAAAAATGTCGAAAGACAATGCTTTAGTTTCCTTAAATCAATTAAGCGTCTTGACCGGGTCTAGTCTCTGGTCTCTGGACACCACCAACCACTGGCCTTCCCAACGATGCAGAGCTAGAGTAGGCCTTGAGCAGAGGCGCAGTGCAGTGACTCCTTTTTGTCATTCAACACGATCAGTAGACTGTCACTAGACCGAAAGCTTCAGTCTCTGATATCGACAGTTGTTCCACTGAGATTACACCTGGCTCCTCGACGTAGTCTACCGCCTCTATTATGGGGAATATTGACAAATGTCAGTTTTATTAAAGAATGACCCATACCATTACCAGGCATTACCACTTACCAGACGAGATTTCCGACTAGCCTAGATCTACATCTAGTCCCTATTCTAAAAGCTATGTCAGACACAATAATGAGACATAAAGCCAAGGAAAAATGTTCATGATGGTTTGTCGGTGCTATTCGATGACTATTTTTCATTCAATCCGAATCCAAAACAGAACTGTCACTTTCAATTTCAGAGAGACAAAGAGTCCGGACACCCTACCTCACCTTGTATTTTATATTCATTTGGTTTCATTAATTGTAGGGCTAGTTGGTCTAGGCTAGCTATCTATTAAAGTCTTACTGTTAATTGTGTGCCATATCTTAACTTTGACTTTATGTTACATCTATAGATCTACTTTAGGTCTTTAGAACTTGAAACTTTTTTCTTTTCCACCTTTTCTTTCCTTCAGGAACACCCTATTGAATTGTCATAATGCCTCTCCCAGCAACTGATGATTATTCAGCCGTCCAGGCTTACTTCACAGCCAAGGAATGGGCAGAGACCAGTGACTATGAGAAACTTCGTCTCAAGAACATCAAAGAAAACTATGAGATGATGATCGAAGTTGGTATGTTACATGTAGTCGTCTATCGGGCACAAGATCGCATGGATCATCTAAATGTCACTTTGGCAATTCTAGGACAATTACCCCCTGGACAATCACCCCGGCTAATTACAGGAGGGACAATTTACCCCCCTCCCCCCCCCCCCCCCCCCCCCCCCCCCGTAAAATTGTCACCCAAAGACAACCCTCCCGCCCCCCTCCAACAACAACGAAATCAGCTTTTATTAAAACCAACTTAGATCTACATACAAATATCATCAGGGTGGACTTCTCCTTTAATGAAAAGGGAGTAGTTTGTCTGTGGGGTGGTTTTCCTTGGTTGTCCTAGAGAGAGAGAGAGAGAGAGGAGGGGGGGGGGGGTAATTTTCCTGGGGGAAGGGGGGGGGGGGGGGGTAAATGTCCCGATATGCTCTTCGGCCCATATTTTACTAATTAAGTTAAAACTGTCCCTGAATCTAAGATTACTTTTAAATAAGGAAAACCTAGACCTCAGACTGACTTCCTTAGTTGAACCCATTTTCAAACTTTTGCATGCAATGAGAAACAGGTAGGCTTTGTCTTAAAATGAGTCTGAGAATACTTGATCTAGACTACAAGCTGATACAAGCTGTGCAGTACTTCTAGATCTACTGTAGATCTACGCCTAACAAAGTTAGACAAGATCAAATATTAGATCCTCCTGGAACTAAATTAGACCTGTATCTAGAGTGTGATTCTAGATCGATAATCTAAACCTCAATTCTAGATTTCTACATATTATAGGTGTGGTAACTTTCTTTTTACAAGAAAGTCTATTCGACAACTTAGCAAGTTTATCATTGATAGTTAATCAATATTAGTTTTAAAGCTTAATGAAAGATACACCCATTTATAAATGATCCAATGTACTGTATTTGTTATTTCTTTTAAAAGGAAACTAGTGATTTTTACTTTACATCCAATCATCTTGATGATGATCAGAGAACATATAAAAAAAAAAAAAAAGTTACAACTTATTATCAAGCAGCGAATTTGTATTCGCTTTTTGGTACAGATTTACTGCGTATTGCCATTTACACTGCCGCTGCAAGAGCGATTTCTTATTTTTGAAGGCATACCGTGCTAAAAATTCCTAATTCTTATTTTCAAATGTTGGCAGGTATGCTATTGTTTCATGTTGTAATTTAATTGTATTATGTAATACAGGGTTCTCTTGCGAAGCAGTTTGTATGCATGTACGAAGCTGTGTATGAAGAACACAGAATAAGTGAATAAATAAGATGTCTTTTATATACAGGACTACAGGTCAGTCCCCCAGCTTTCATGCAACCTCGTCGCGGAAGAAAGAAACAGATCGTAGAGGAGAGTGATAGCGGGGATGAGGAGTGGAAGCCAAAGAGGGCCAAGAAAAAGTCAAGAGGTTGGTCTAGATTTATCTGTCTAAATTATTTTCACTGTATCAAACAAAATCTTATCTAGTGAGATTGCGGCTTTGTTATCTTTTACCACTGTTCATGTCAACTGATATAAAAATTATTTATCCAATTATGTATAATGTACATTTAGCATGATATTAATCGAGAGCGAGAGAGAGAGGAAGATTGAAAGATGGAGAGATGGAGAGAGTACTGGTTGGCCCTACTCAGTAGTACTACATGTACATGTAAGATGTGCATGTACTGTACATAGCCCAATATAGGCATAGCTGTAAAGCTTCAAGGACCTTATGGCAGATTAAACTTGTACATGTACTAAATGAAATAAAGTCTACTATCATCATCAAAGGACCAGAAACTACGCCCTCTCACATTGCCTGGAGACAATCATCCAACGACGATGGAAAACGCTGTAAAAACCAACAACAGCAACTACTACTACTACTGCTGTTAGTATTGTCCTTATTGTTAGTACGTGTATGTCTTAACAGTGGTGGTGGTAGTAGAGGTAGTAGTACAATAGCAGGAGTAGTAGTATTAATAGTAGTAGTAGTAGTAGTAGTATTAGATAAGATGTAGTAGTAGTAATGGCAATTTTATATCCGTTTGGTATGATAGCAAGTATAAAGGCATCAATTATTTGAAAGGAATGTAATTTGTCCATATAAATATATACATGTACAGTCTATGTCAATCATTGCTATCAGATGAAGATATGAACCTAGTAAATCTGTAGAACTGTGTAGTTTTTTGAGTAATTGCTTTAATACTTTTTTTAATCATTATCGCATCACTATAGGAAGACGTTCAGATTAGATTTTAGGGGTATGACGGTCTACTAGTAGCAGGAGTAGTAATATTAGTAGTACTACAAGTAATAACAGTAGATGTAGTAGTAGTAGTAGTATTTATATCTGTTTGGTATGAAAGCAAGTATAAAGGCATTTATTATTTTGAAAGGAATTTAATTTGTCCAAACACAGTCTGTACATGTTAAAATTGATCGTTGCTATCAGACAAAGATATGAACCTAGTAAATCTTTAAAATTCCAAAGAACTGTAGTTTTTTTTAGTAACTGCTCTCCTTTTTAAAAATCATTATCCATCACCATAGTAAGATGATCTGATTAGATTTTGGGAGTATGCAGGTGAAAGGTGAAAGGTCTATTTCCTTAAAAATCTAGGCTGTGGTCATCTTATCGCAAGATGTCAAGAACTATTCGAGCCATTTACATCAGACTTGGAACTAGTAACAAAGTGAAACAAACAGATTAGATTTAGGGTTAACAAAGTTAGAGGTATAAAAGTCAACTGTGTGTGAGATTATTTTTAAAATCCTTGTTACCATATCAAAAACTATTTCAGCTGTGTTGTTCAACATAGAAAGACAAGAGATCAGATTTTGAGATTGTGAGGTCAAAGGTCACAAAAGTGAATTTAAATGTACATGTATGCTTTATGGTAGTATACAGTATGAAGGACACTTTAATAGCCATTATCCTAACTGCATTTAGATGGAGGCAAATTGGAGACGTAGTAATATCAGTACATCTTTCTTTTTTTCCAGGATGTACAGTCTATTTTGATCATTGCTATCCGATGAAGATATGAACCTAGTAAATCTTTAAAAATCAAAAGAACTCTAGTTTTTTCAGTAATTGCTCTCTTCTTTTTAAATCACTATCCATCGCCAAAGTAAGATGATCTGATTAGGTTTTGGGATATGTAGGTCAGACTTAAAGGTATAGACCAGTTCTGGTCATGCGATTGCATTGTGAAAGAAACTTGTGGAATCGATCAGAAAAGGTTGATCATCTAGCATATAAGTATGAACTGCAAGGTTCTTGAATCATCAAAATGAGAAGGCCCAGGCTTGGTAGAGTTACAAGCACTATGCACAGAAAGATGTACAGTATATGGAACTACCCTATATCTATCAAGTCCGGATTGGTAATAAGAGCTTCCATTTCATTTGTTGAGAGGGGGGCGTTTCTAAAACTGGCCTTTAGCTTTAATATAGTTAGAGGTCAAACAGTCATGTTTATCAATGAATATTTTAGTTGTGTTGATCACCATAGAAAGACAAGAGATCAGATTTTGAGATTGTGAGGTCGAAGGTCATAAAACTGAACTTAAATGTACATGAAAATGTATGCTTTATGGTAGTATATATGAAGAACACTTAATAGCCATAATGTTAACTGAATTTAGATGGAGGCAAATTGAACATGCAGTTGTACATCTTTTTTTTTCCAGGATCTTTCCAGGCACCATTTAAGGTTCAACAGAAAGCTCCCAAGCCAGTTCATGCAAAGAAGCAACAATCATCGGAAGAGAGTTCTAAACCAGTAAGTAAAACAAAATACACAGGAGCTGTGAGCATTTACGCTCTCAAAAGCTCTAAAAGCCCTCTGTAAAATTGAATAATTGAATGAGAGCTTGGTTCTAATTATTTTTTGCCCCCAAACAATGTGAAAAATTGCACCCCCTCCCCCCCCCCCACGAGCACCAGGTGAGGGGGCCCGTCTTCAAATAAAGGTGAAATTAACATGTGTTTTTTTTTTCCAGGGGATGGTGCCCAGGCCCCCCCCCCCCCCTCCCTGTATCCGCCACTGAATTTTCCTTCTGGCCCACTCCTGAATACAGAGTCTTGGTAAAGATCTTGTAATATATTGATATGACGTCTTACATGTAGCCTAAATACATACAATATATAAATGCATGAAATGTGAACAGTATATATACAATATAATAAAGTACATATTGCTTTATATCAAATCTTAAGATCTCTACAGTATATCTACTAACTCCTATCTTTTGAATTTAGCACACTGTAACATCAGGTACTGTGTATGATGATGACGGCAATCCACTAGATGATGCTCATCATATAGGGGGAGAGCGAATCATTGACCTCCTTGAATGGAAGGACTTTGACGAATCCACCCAAGCACAGACAGATACCACATCATCAGGTGATCAGGGGAAACAGTCAGGTGATCCGAACACTCAGTCAGGTGATCCCAACACTCAGTCGGGTGACCAGAAGACTGAGCAAACCCTGACAGGAGTAGCTTCATCAGGAGGCGACCAGTCTCCCAAGCAATCCCAATCGTTTTGTATGAAAGTTGGTGGATGTGTTGGTGGAAAGGCAAAGTCTCTCTCGGGTAAGGAAATCTTAACAATATCATCTCCCAGATGTGACTTTTACTTTTTTCTGTATCCTATAAGTGAATGCCTTACTTATATGCACTGTACATTCATAAAATTAAGTTTCCTCTCTTGGACGAATGAATCCCTTTCATACAGCACACATCTCCATCTAGTAAGCAGTGAAATGAAAAGAGAATTGGGATCTGAAAAGATAATGAACATTTCTTGTATCCTGTCTATCAAGTTACAACTTGCCCAACCAAAGCACTGACAGAATTAACTGAAACTGAACGGATGAACTAAAGGGAACAACTTGAAAAGCTTGACATATAATATGGATTCATGCCAGAGAACAACAACAACGTAAACTATAGAATGAAAGTCTACATTGTTCTGAAAAGGATAAGCTGGGAATAAACTAAATCAATTTGTGCATATTTTTATTTCAGTCAGGAGAAAGGAAAAACCCCAACCATCCCCAAGACAATCTAGATACCCGAGGAGAGCAGTGAGCCGGAAGTCCTACAAAGAAGATGATGTTCCTGACGATGATCACTACATCTGTAAGTAAACACAAGATAAATTTGTTCTGGATTACTTTGTTTTGTTTGATGTGATTTACTCTGAATTGTTGTGTTATGGTTGGGTTTGGTTTGGAAGGGCGAAGATTGTCAAGCTATGAAATATGTGAGTAGTATTCCTATGGGGAGATTTTGTTGGAATATGCCTTTGAATCAGCAAAGGAAGAACTAGAAATAAATTTCACAAAATGAATAAATCTAATTTTAAACTAGACTTTAATTCGTCACTTCGACGAATTAGGTGATACGTATGATAATGGTTTACATAACGAATAATGCATTATTTACACGATATATTATTTTATAAAATGCTTTTCCTATTATGATCTATCCATAGTGTCAAGTTTAAATTGCGTCCCCTTGATCAGGGATCTAGGGAAGATAGATTGAAACAATATATGACCTTTGACCCTGTACAGTAACCAGTTACACCTTTGACTCTAATTTACATCATGAAGAACACATTTTGACGATTTTATCTTATTCAAAGAAATGAAAATGTAATTGATAAATGATTGTCATCATGATAATGATGATCATGATGATGATCATGAGCGCGATCCTGACATCTTATTACAAAAATGAGGGTTGATTTAGATAGCACAAAGTCTCAGCGACAACATACTAAAAAATCAACAAAATCCATGCAGAAATAACGGCGACATTGCTCGTAAAAGACAGGAATGTAGAATCCAGATTTGAGAAAAAGTCATCTCCCATAGGGATTACACGCAAAAAGTAATGGATCAAGTGAAAATAGGGTAATAATAAAGTAAAAAGGGTTGTTTATTACATTATTTGCGAATCTACGTGTTTTAATAATCAAAGGAGATGGTACAGTGAAAGGTCAAAAGGAAAAAAAAGTGAAAAAAAAATATTGTTGGAGACACCCGGACTCGAACCAGGGATCTCGAGGTTGGAAATCAAGTGCGTATACCGATATACCAAAACATCTCCCATAGCGATTACACGTTAGCGGGAAATGGAATTCTGAAATCTTACTTTGCAAGTGAAATGTGAGCATGATCCCGGCATCTGATTGAAAAATACGTGACACATTTGTGAAAGATTGTCTTAGCTACAACATACTCGAATCTCAGCGTAAACAAAGCTGAAACAACGGAGCTGTTGCTCGCAAAAGACGGAAATGTAGAATCCAGTTTTGAGAAATAGTCATGTCCCATAGACAATACACGCAAAATGTGAAAAATTGACATGCCTCCTTTAATCGCAAAAATACGCCATGATACCTTTGTCAAACCGGAAAATTATGGTTACTACATTTGTAGAAAATTATCTCAGCTAGAACATATCAAAATTTGGAAGAAAAACAATCAATATTTACAGAGATACAATCAATTTTCCAAAAATATGCAAACGTCATAATATGCAAATTTAAATTTTGAGTTTGGAGGCCATTATGATGACATGACTTAAAATTGACCGGACGGATATTGTTCTTAATCATGATAAATATGAATGAGAAATGGATTCCTGTTATGAAGATATGATCATAAGTTGAATTTTACAAAATGGCGCCTGGATGACGTCACGATGACCTTGACTCTCTGGAAAGTCACACAGTTCTAAGTTAGACTAAGATCTATCATCATTGAAAGTTTCATGATAATGGCTTTATTCAGTCTTGAGATATCCTGCGAACAAATTCGAGGAAGAATAAAAAGAAATAATAAAGAAAATCTTGACGAAATCAATAGGTGATACATAGACTTCGTTACGTATCACCTAATAATAAAACAAGGGGGGAAAATGAATGACATATTCAAAGACAATTATTTACTATTATCTGGAACTTGTGTATAAGCCATCAACTCATGAAAATTAAAACTTCTGCAACTTTATTACTTTATTAGTGTTCATGCCCTTCATTGACACAGAGGCACCAATTATCTACCATCAGCATTAACTATCTAAGTGAAATATGAAATGAAAACAAAAATCTGTCTCTGCAGCCTCGAAAAAACTACTGATTGTACGAAAAAAAACATGATTGTTTGACTGACAATGATATTCTATAGTTAATCAAATTCTATTATAAACTTTTTCAGATTGTGAGGACTGTCATGAGGTCTTTGAAGGTGAGTGCTCCAAGCACCCCCTTACCATCATCAAGGACAACCCTGTCCCTAAAGGCTCGAAAGACAGAGCAAGTAAGACTCTACCAGATGGTCTAGTGGTCAAGCAGTCATCAATACCAGGGGCTGGTCAGGGGATCTTTGCTACCAAGTTTATCCCTAAAGGATACCGGTTTGGTCCGTATGATGGAGACATTGTGGACTTAGAGACTGGATATGACAGTGGATATGCATGGGAGGTATGAATTTTTTGTTGTATAAATGTTATTGCATAGAAACATTAACTTTTATGTTGAGTCTGATTCAAAATACTAACGCCCATAGATGTTAACATTTTTATCACTTAGATACATATAAAATATCTATTACAAATAAATGCATATTTCTAGGCCTTCCTAGAACAGATTTCAGTTTTTAATGTTTAGTTATATAAGATTCTAAATTTTAACAAAATCTATTATCTTGTGTGGAAAAGTAAACACGTGTTATCATTATAACGTACATGATAGAGAGAAATCAAGAATATAGCAAATGTTAATGTTAATACATGCGTGCAATATATTACAATATGTTCATTTTCATTAATAGGACAATTAGATATACAATTAAACATGAATTATTATAGAAAATATTAGTACCGCTAAAAGTGAAAACGAATAATATATCATACCCTTTGGAATAAGTGCAGTTCGTGACAATTTCAATTCCTGTTCGAGATCTAAAATGCTCCCCCCCCCCGCCCGACCCCCCCCCCCTTTGATGTAGATCTGTACAGAAGGCAAACCTCACCACTATATGTTGACAGTAACAGTGAGCAGACAGGCAACTGGATGCGATACATCAACTGTGCACGCAATGAAGGTGAACAAAACCTTGTAGCATTCCAGTATCTCGGTGAGATATACTACCGTACCTTCAAACCAATCTGTCCAGGAAGGGAGCTACTGGTCTACTATGGGGAGCAGTATGCTAAGGATCTTGGTATCACGTCACAGCTCAATAAACTCAACATTGAAACTGGTAATCATTTCTTGTTATTATTATTGTATGTTATTGTCTATGTATTTATTTTATATCTTATTTAATGTAGAAACATAGGGTGAGGGTTAGCTTGCAGCTGCAAATTTTTTTTTGATTCTAACAAACCATGTAAAATCTAATCAATGACTTTTTTACTTTATTGGAGTGAATGTTTTTGACTAAGTAGCGAGCACAGAATGCGAAGTGAAAAGGAACTTTGAAAAGAAGTCACTTCTCCATCTACTTCTTTTGTGAATTGAACTGCAGAATATAGCAGCATGACAAACTTCTTTGATTGACTTTAATAATTCATACACCTTATCTAGTTTTAACTTTTGTCGTGTTTCCTTAAATATATACCAGTAATTATGATATCCCTCATTTATTATGGAACATTGCTACACGCTGTTCATAAGCTATATTCTGATCTAAGATATTTTGAATAAAAGAGTTTGGTTGTAAATGTCATTGTGTTCTTGTTGTTGTTTTCAATCACATTCCAACTTTGTCATATTCCATCCAAACACATGTAATGACTACACAACTTTGAATCTGATGGAGATGATCGACTTCATAAAAAATTATTATAATAATGTGAACCTGTTTGTCATTTTCAATAGATTCTGGAGTCTACAGATGTGAGTACTGTGGATCGCTCTATGCCATTCCTCTCATCTTAGCAAGACATCTCAAGTGGAAACATGGACACAATGGTATTGTCCCACAGGCAGGTGCATCAAAGGAAGACATTCTACAGTTCATCAAAGGAGAAATTAAAAAACCAATCAGCAAAACAAATGGGCTTTCATTTAGTAAATCAAAAATTATGAAGACAGATGGAAACAAAGAAAATATAATACTGGAAAGCAAAGCGTGCAGTTATAATCTTACAAGACATAAAGGCATCCATAAAGGTGAGAAGCCCTATATATGTGATCAATGTGGTAAGGCATTTAATCAAGAACCTCATCTCACAAGACATAAACGCATCCATACAGGTGAGAAGCCCTATGTATGTGATCAATGTGGTAAGGCATTTAATCAAGAACCTCATCTCACAAGACATAAACGCATCCATACAGGTGAGAAGCCCTATGTATGTAATCAATGTGGTAAGGCATTTAATCAAGAACCTCATCTCACAACACATAAACAAATCCATACAGGTGAGAAGCCCTATGTATGTGATCAATGTGGTAAGGCATTTAATCGTGAAAATAATCTCACAACACATAAACGCATCCATACAGGTGAGAAGCCCTTTGTATGTAATCAATGTGGTAAGGCATTTAGTGATTCATCAGCGTTACATCAACATGAACAGAAATGTAAAGGACCATTCTCTTAGTGCAATACAAATCTTGAACAAAAATCAAAGTATAACGATAAAGCAAATCAAGAAAAAATGGTGCTCGATGTTCATCAAATGGGAAGGCTCCCGTTGAAGAATAAAAAGGACAAAAGGATTCTGATTAAAATGGTACAAAAATAAATAATGAAATTAGAAAAAGTAATTTGCAATACATTTTTTAAAAATAATTTTGGTTATGAAATGACCTGACTAAAAACAAAATGAAATGAAAAATGAAACTTATTGCATCATTTGTACTGAATAGATTAATATAACTTTATTTAAATTATATGAATAGCCCAGTTGTTTATGTGTATACTTATTGTACTAATCTTTATCTAAGGGGTTCCTTCTTTCACTTGTTATTTTGTCAATTGTCACATTTAATCACTAAAGATGTTGAAACAATGTTGCCCACTTCAGTCTGTATTGTATCAAAATGCAATATTCATTATAATGCTACTCTACATACACGGCCTACTATATGCACTATTTTTCATCAAGAAATTCCAATCTGAAATGTTTATTAAAATGTGTGTATGGACAATCTAATGAAGTACAGTGCAAATATGACTGAAAGTGGTTGGTATGTTAATATGTTGTATATTACAGCTCCACATTTTGATCATTCTAACAAGAAACCAACAAGCTTGTTGATATCTTAATTGATTTCTTTGTTATGATCCAGGATGATGTAAATAGTTAGCATTGTGACAAGGTGAATTTCATTTCTAACTTTGTCTTCATATATAAGTGCTTTTTTTGTGTGGAACGCTGATTAGGTGCATTATACTGCTAATATTGAAATGATGATCGGTACTACGTTGAAAAGAGCCATAACTAAAGCTTGTGGACTTGCACTCATCAGAGTAAAATACTGCTGATATTGTAAAATTGTGTATGTTAAATTGTGGTCAACTGTTCATTGATGGTAGCTAGGCCTACAGTGTATTGTCATTTTATTGAATAAATATATAAATGTAGCTCTGTGTAAATTCAACATTTGCCAATAGGTTCATCCCAGCAGAGCAACATCCCACGTGACCAAGATTACAAAGAAATGCCTAACAATATATAGGAAAAAAAAGGAAATTTCAAAGGGTTTACAAGACTGAAAGGCCGACCGCCTATGATCCTAACAAAACAAATAATTACATAAGTAAGATAGAAATGTTGGTCTCGTGGGCCGTCGATCTAGTAACCTTCTAAAATGCTTTAGTTTACTGTTTGATCTCTTTGAATTGAATTGTTCAAAGAAGATTATTGCAATTATCTGAAGATGAGACATGAAATTTGTAATGAAATTGATATTTATACTGTATCTACAACATTATCGAAGTTTAAAAATTGAACTAAAATGAAGCACAATTCAGGTTGTCAATGCTTTTTATGCCTCCGCCACCGAAGGTGGTGCCGGAGGCATCATGTTTTCGGGTTGTCCGTCCCGTTTGACCCTTATCACAATATCTCAAGAACCATTTAAGATTTAAACTTGAGACTCGGGAATAGTATTTATCACCATAGGAAGACGATCTGATTAGATTTTGGAGTACGTAGGTCAAAGGTCACAGGTCACAGAGGTCAACTTATGAAATTCCTTGTATTGAGTTTGTTAGCGCGATATCTCAAGAACCATTTGAGATTTAAACTTCAAACTTAAGGATAGTATGTATCACCATAGGAAGACGATCTGATTAGATTTTGGAGCACGTATGTCAAGGGTCAAGGGTCACAGAGGTCAACTTATGAAATTCCATACATTGAGATTGTTATCATGATATCTCAAGAACCACTGGAGATTTAAACTTCAAACTTAGTGATAGTGTGTATCACTATAGGAAAACAATCTGATTACATTTTGGAGCACGTAGGTCAAAGGTCAAGGGTCATAGAGGTCAACTTATGAAATTCCGTACATTGAGATTGTTATCATGATATCTCAAGAACCACTGGAGATGTAAAAACTTCAAACTTAAGGATAGTATGTATCACCATAGGAAGACGATCTGATTAGATTTTGGAGCACGTAGCTCAAAGGTCAAGGGTCACAGAGGCCAACTTATGAAATTCCATACATTGAGATTGTTATCATAATATCTCAAGAACCACTGGAGATTTAAACTTCAAACTTAATAGTGTGTATCACCATAGGAAGACAATCTGATTAGATTTTGGAGCACGTAGGTCAAAGGTCAAGGGTCACAGAGGTCAACTTATGAAATTCCATACATTGAGATCGTTATCGCGATATCTCAAGAACCACTGGAGAATTTTCACTTCAAACTTAATGATAGTATGTATCACCATATCATAATATCTCAAGAACCACTGGAGATTTAAACTTCAAACTTAATGATAGTGTGTATCACCATAGGAAGACAATCTGATTAGATTTTGGAGCACGTAGGTCAAAGGTCAAGGGTCACAGAGGTCAACTTATGAAATTCCATACATTGAGATTGTTATCATGATATCTCAAGAACCACTGGAGATTTAAACTTCAAACTTAGTGATAGTGTGTATCACTATAGGAAAACAATCTGATTACATTTTGGAGCACGTAGGTCAAAGGTCAAGGGTCATAGAGGTCAACTTATGAAATTCCATACATTGAGATTGTTATCATGATATCTCAAGAACCACTGGAGATGTAAAAACTTCAAACTTAAGGATAGTATGTATCACCATAGGAAGACGATCTGATTAGATTTTGGAGCACGTAGCTCAAAGGTCAAGGGTCACAGAGGTCAACTTATGAAATTCCATACATTGAGATTGTTATCATAATATCTCAAGAACCACTGGAGATTTAAACTTCAAACTTAATGATAGTGTGTATCACCATAGGAAGACAATCTGATTAGATTTTGGAGCACGTAGGTCAAAGGTCAAGGGTCACAGAGGTCAACTTATGAAATTCCATACATTGAGATCGTTATCGCGATATCTCAAGAACCACTGGAGAATTTTCACTTCAAACTTAATGATAGTATGTATCACCATATCATAATATCTCAAGAACCACTGGAGATTTAAACTTCAAACTTAATGATAGTGTGTATCACCATAGGAAGACAATCTGATTAGATTTTGGAGCACGTAGGTCAAAGGTCAAGGGTCACAGAGGTCAACTTATGAAATTCCATACATTGATACTGTTATCATGATATCTCAAGAACCACTGGAGATTTAAACTCCAAACTTGTTTAATTTTAACCAATCTTTATATTGTAAATAATGGTGAATTAAGAATAGCAATTATGCTTGGTTTTCTCTTGAAGCCGTTTGTCTGTTTTTCGGATATGTAGGTCCAATTATAATGATATGAAAAGAAACGTATTTCTATGTGCATTTTCATTTGCAAGCAACTATTAATCGACGTTTATTACTTTAGATAAATATAGTCTTTAAAATCCTACGAATAAAATTGCCTATATATCCATTCCTGCTATTTGGCAATGTTATGCAACTGTTTCAAACTAAAGATTTTGAGGCTACAGCTAGCCGATCTCTCTCATAGCTAGGTCATTAGGCCAAATTAAAAATAAAACATGTTTAGCGTCCTGTATTTTATAAAAAAAAATAGGAAGGAGGAGGCCCCCTTTATTTTTTCTTTCAAAATGGCCGCTCAAAATGGCCGCTCGGCACATTTTCCCTAACAGTCGGGCTATTTTTCAAAATGGCCACCGACAATGTTTTCATTTTTTTTAAAAAAATCAGAAATAGATCCATTTTGGCAGTGTAATCAAATTTTTTTTTTTAATTTAAAAAAAAAAAAAAAAAATAGGAGGCGGCCCCCAAAAAGGAAGCGGGCGGGGACGCTAAACATGTATATTTTTTTTTACATGGCCTTATAACAGATATCAAAAATCAATTCATGAAGCTCAATAGAGTATCGAGGGAGATGACATGCATGTCCAAAACGATATTATGTATTTTCTGATATTTTCGAGTTTTTCGTATTGTGGTGTATGAATAGAATTTATAATATTCAGTATTGATGAACAAATATTGAAATTAATGTTTCTCTTACTAATGGTCAAACATTTTTCTTTTCCCCGAAATAAGACGATGTCTACGTGAAATTAAATTACCTCAGTGAAAAATGTTATGATATATTTCATATTTTAATTGTTGTTCGAATGTTGGTTGTTGTTTATAGAAATGTTTATTGTATCTAAAATGTTTAACTTATGGACAGGTAGTGAAGTTTGTTATGTGCTGTTTTTTCATATTGAAGATTTCATAAGATTTTCACGAGTTGTTTATGTAGACGACTTAAATTCATTAAATTTGATTAACATAAAGTTCATTTATTTGCTTGTATATTGTCATTGGAACAAAGGCTTGAATGGTTATATACTTATATTACATTATGAATATGACGGACAAAGAAAGAGGACAAAATATACAGTTCCTCATTCTACCCTCAACAATTGCTGTGGTAGACAATTACATCCCTTCACTGCTATTATGTAAAAATGTGTAGAGCAGGTGTCACATGCATATTCACCTGTTCTACACATTTTTACATAATAGCAGTGAAGGAAAATGTTCCTTTGTCTACCACATCAATCGTTGAGGGTAGAATGAGGAACTGTATATTTTGTCTTCTTTCTTTGTCCGTTCATAGTGATAGTACGTTCCCGGAAATGAAACAAAAAGAGAAGCGACATTGCAGAACAATTAGACTAGTGACCGAGAGTAGAGACGCACATAAGTAGCAGAGTAGGAGGGGTGAAGGAGAGAGAGAATTAAGGGAGAGATCGCATATGACCATGACCACAACTGTCTTTATCTTTAAAAAGTACCAAGAGAAGAAGAGGGTACAATTAATAGGGTAAAAAAAAAAAAGAGGGTAAAAATAATTGGCTGACACTATTAAAGTAAAATGAACATTAATATCAAGAGAGACAGATGGGAGAGAGAGAGAGAGAGAGAGAAAGAGAGAGAGAGAGAGAGATGGGAAGGGAAGGAGAGAAAGCGGGATAGCCTCCCGGGATAGCCTTCGAGGAGTTTGAGAAAGTGTTGCTGATGAACTACTTGCATCTTGTCCGGCATCTTTGTACGTACAATAATGCATTTGTATGTTTTTTTTCCTGGAGAATAATAAAACAAGGGGCTTGATTTAACTTCTAAGGCCTCCTATATTAATAAAAAAAAATGAAGCGAAACATCCCAGGTAATGAAAAATATTGTATAAACGGTCTGACAATACAGCCTTCAGGGGCGGTATTCTGAACCCTGTGTTATCTCTAATATTGTTGTATCTTTGGAGATAAGATAAAGTTGGTATTCTGAACACTGTTGTAAGTGAGCCGTATCGCTCTTGGAAGTGTAAAATGGCCGCCGCGCGTGTGAGCCCACTTCAAGCGATGATCCGTCCAGGTGGTAGAGGTCAGTGGATAGAAAGCTAGATTTTTACGCAATCGAAACCGGGCTGATTAAACATATTAAAAAGCAGAGATACGAAGCTGTAAATCTTCTAGTATGTCCTAATAAATTGCGATACTGGTGAATTAATTATAATATTTAAAAATATATATTTTTAGTTTTTTTTACTGACAACTAAATTTTCTTATACAAGTGATCTGAAAATATCGCAAATATATTTAGTATGCTGGGCAGCGTTTCTCGAAACCGTCATAACTACAAGTTCACTGACATCCCATTGAAACGCGTGTTAAACTTAATACACGCGTGTCAATGAGATGTCAGTGAACTCGTACTTATGACGGTTTCGAGAAACGCTGCCCAGCTCGTATGTGCCATGTGAACGCACGCCATAAAACTCCTACAGGAACAACAACAGTGACATTGCATTGGGCGAGAGGTAGCTGCATGCTGTGTATAGGCCTAAAGCCGAGAGATCTCGAAGGATTTTCATCGGGCCGCGGCCGGGTACGTACGCAGAGCTGAGCTGGAGCTCTGCTGCATGCTATCTTGTTATTTTAGCTGCATGCAGCCTCTGCTAAAAAGTAAAATGTTCGAGAGAAGCCAGAAAAAGCACAAATTATGCACGGAAATTTCAGGTATGTTCGAATGGAGTCGGGCTAACTCGGACCAGGGGACAACTCGGCCCAGGTACAATTTATGGCGCTAGTGTAGCAAGGTATCCAAAATATAGCCTAGATCTACTAAAACAGACCTCAAATTTTAGACCCCAAATTTCGTGTTTATCATTATCTCTAGGGTTAGGGTTAGGGTTAAAGTTAGGGTTAGAGTTAGGGTAAAATGACGAAAAATGACCGTTTTTGCAGCTGGGCCGAATTTGTCCCCTGGTCCGGATCCGTTCAAATTATCACCGTTAACACCCACACATCCTATTTTACATCATTGAAAGCTGAAACCTCCCATTTTATAGTCAGTCTAACTCAGTGGCAAAATGAGCAAAAATATGGCCATCAATGGCCATGGGGTTAGCAAGGGAATACGTATAGGCCTAGTTGGCTTCCGTCTCTAAAGAGAGAGTCGACCCTACCCAAATATGAGGCTTAACAAACGAAAGAGATGGAAAATTCAGTCTAGGGGTGGGTCTGGGTGTGCCGGCCCCCTCCCAGAGTAAGAAGCATTTGCAATTTTAGAACCAAATTAGACGCATTTTCAGGCACTTCCTGGAGTAATATGACGTGAAATTGCTTTCTCCTACTCCTTCCAAGAGTAGGGATCTTATGCAATTTGAGAACCAAATTTGGCGCATAATGTCCACCAGCACGTCTTCCTGGAAAAAACGAGGCCTTCTTATTGGTTAGAAGTTAGAGAAAAGTGATCTGTCAAGTCATGAGACGTATATGCTTTGATGCCGCACAATGCACACAGACGGTGGTCCGGTACTTCATCAGTAGTACTTGCAAAAATTATCTGGAGTGTAACAACTGTGTCGTTATCAGGGGCGTCGCTAGACAGCAATAACCATCTGATTTGGGTCATTTCTTTAATAAAACTGACATTTGTTGTCATTCCCCAATACAGATGGCAACCCAGAGATCTCGTACCGTGGGGCAGGCTATGTACATATTTTCGTCCACGACATTTTCTCCCCGATTTTCTTTATTTAGATCTAATTTCCTGATTTCTAAATCAGATGTAAATTAGGTCGGTATGTCATTTGTCCTAATTACAGTTATCAAAATTTGATAACTCAATATTAAATGGATAAATTACGGACTTACTTATATGAATTATCCAATTTGTATCTCCGAACGTTCATGCACTCAGAACATAGGGCTATATGACCCGGCGGCCAAAATATTTCCGGGTCAACCTACCAAAACATAGCCAAATGGCCAATCAGAGCACTCGTTTCATGGGAGTTCGTTGGTCAAGCTGGGCTTACTCGTACGTAGCTACGGTAGCTATTGGACGTTCGAAAAGAAAAAATGAATATTCATCAACTAACACCAAGACGGATAATGTTGACGACGAGACTTTCTCGGATTAATCATTAATTTAGGATCTAAATGAGCAAGCTATCGTAAGTCAAATAAGCTATATATATGTTATTTTTAATTTGTGTTATAATTGCAGCAGTTATGAGGATGTAAAGAGTGAAAATCTTGTTGCATATCTCATTCATCGCGGTCCGGTCGAACCGAACCATTTGTTCCGTACAGTGCCTCACAGAAAGAGGTCCCCAGACTTCAGTCTCTATAATCGGAGGTGTAGTGGAGCCAGACGTAGTCTCAGTGGAACAACCAACGATTAGAGAGACTGAAGCTTTCGGTCTAGGGCGTCGCTAGATCTTTTTCAGTGGGGGAGTGGGGAGGGTGTAGAGTCCACCGATTACCGACAAATATATTAATTCCAATGTCCAAATGTCTACAAATTTAACCCTATAAACCCGGGGCCAGGAACTAAGTTGTTTTTCAGTTTCCCCCCTCCCGCTTGAAGTGCGAAAACTTTGACACTTCATTAAATTATTATTCAACCGTCCGGTATCCGACCGCCCATGGTGGATTCCGTTTTCAATTGGACGGTGTCGTTTTCCCGTTTTTTTTTTTTTTTTTTTTTTTTTTTTTTAAATTTATGCCCATCCACCTGGCACTATGCCTGGCGATGTCTCCCAGCTCAGTAATCTGTGTGTTGACTCACCACTCCAAAACTAGAACAACACTCCAATTTGTCTGTCATCTTGGTTTGAAAGTAATCTTTGTAATAGATCTCAATATGTAGTTTATAATAATAATTCATCCAAGTTTTACACAAGGCGTACCACAAGGTTCTATCCTAGATCGTCTACTGTTTTTAATTTACATTAATGATCTTACACATTTTTCTAAAAATGACATTGTTATTATTATTTGTGACAAGTTCACAAGCACAAATCGGCGCCTTCAAATGCAACTCGCAGCTAAATGAAAGTCCTTCCTGCTTTTTCACACGGACCTGGCTTGATTGAGATAATCTACATGTACTCCCCTGAAAGCAAGATATAGAATGCAAAATAATATTCTACTTCACATGTTATGAAGTCGGATCAAGAACACAAATAAATACGAAGAAAACGAAAAAAATTGTGGTAAATTTATGTACAAAAGGCATGGAGAGTTGTCCACAGATGATGTCATCAAATCGAATACCGCCCTCTAGTGACTAATCATTTAAAAAAAGCTCTAACTTCCTTATTCCTTGCCCGATTTTGTTCAAATTTTCACTGATTTTATTCAAATCTTTTAAACTTTACAATAACAGTAACTTAGTATGAAGGTTTTGGTTCCCTTTAAGGTTGTAAGATGTGTGCCGGAGTTGGCTTGTACTGGTTGTTGTAGACCTAGTTGTATTACTATTGATAATTGCTTATATATATATGTATATATATATTAAAGGTAATACAAAGTTTTGGTATCGGGTCATGAATTTGGTTCAAATGAACACATTGGAAGCATATATATGCGATCCTACAATATTCAGTGATCGTTGTCCATCGAGTCCAAAGTTATGAAATTTTAAGTATTACACTCTTTCTGTTGTACAGCTCCCTCTCGAGGTCAAGATATTAATTAAGCTATAAAACAATGTTTCTTGACTAAACTTGACCCATTAGCTATTACCGTTTGGAAATTTTATATCACAACTACATATTCTGAGATTTTCATGGTCGCAGCTACCATTGTACGGCCGTAGGCGCTATTTGAAATTTAACAAAATTTACCGGGAGCACCGGTATATTTTTACATTCAATTTGTCTCGAAAGCAGAAGTGTTTCTAAGTGATAAACTTTCTAGTTCTTATAATGCATCCATAGGGTATCCAAATATATCAAAATTGTAAAGAATTACTATCTGCCCAATTTTCAAGATTTCCCAAAACTTTGTATTACCTTAATACCTTTAAACCACTCCAGCAAAGCATAGAGTCTTCTTCTTCATTAAAAGTGCAGGCTTCATGAAATTAAGATTAACGCTATGTCAATGCTATTATTATGCTAATGCGTATTGACCTTTTTTTTTCTTCAATTTTCCATGTTTGATTGTTTTTCACCATCATGGTTGGAACTTGGATAATTGAAAAAATCAAATACTCAAAAGAACACATTTTAAATTTCAAGGCTCACCAATGTTTCTATCAAAAGATACAGCCCCCCAAAATCTAGGCAATATTTGGGCTAGTTCAGAAGTCTATCCAAAATTTGACCAGTAACACTGGCGTGGAGATACCCTACTAAAACATACCCAAAATAAAGTAAATATTCATCAAATGTCCAAATAAAGGTCATGATTTAAAAGTCGATATGTTTGTTACCTGTTTCGTGTCAATTTTCTTATCTTTTTCTGAGTATTTTTCCTAAAAACAAAGACTTATAATATACACTTTCTCATGGGATTCACGGCAAACTGAAGCAAAATACAATACAATACATACTGTCCCGACGGTCGGGTGCGGGAGCGTGCGTGTGTTAAGTTAGTGACTGTAATCTTAGTTTAGACGAAATAATATGGGAAGTTATAGGACAGACGGATTCATGACAACAACAACAACAAAATAAACTGTAAGATGAAAGTCTAAATCATTTTGAAAAGGATATATTGGGAATAAACTAAATCAATTTGTGCATATTTTTATTTCAGACAGGAGAAAGGAGAAACCCCAACCATCAGTGAGCTGCAAGTCCTACAAAGAAGAACATGTTCTTGATGGTTAGCATACAGCTCTGTAACAAATATTCTAATGAACTATGTAACCAGGGGCGTCGCTAGACCTTTTTCAGTTGGGGGGGGGGGGGGGTGTAGAGGCCACCGATTACAGACAAACCTCTACCAATTTACCGGTAACCGTATAAACCCGGGGCTGGGGGCTAATTTTTCCTACAAACTGTCTATGAACCTTACTACCTGTGCATGCGCACATGGTAATTTTGCTTGACTTCAAACATATATGGGTTAATTTTGTCAAGACTACCGTATTTGCCAGCGTAATGGCCGCAGTATTTTTGGAAGAGAAATGTCAAAAAGTCGAGGTGCTGCCTTTACGGCGAAAGAGTAAAAAAAAAAAAAAAATCAAGTCAAAACCAGCACGAATTTGCACGTACATGCATGGGACTACTAACGGTACAATAACTATACCACTATGGTAAAGGACAATTCAACTCATCTTACCGACAATATTATCTTGCATTGTTGACATGAATACGAAAATAAATTGCTAAACCTACATTTGCCGATAGATCTTGATCTAAGTTTGTGCCAATGCATTGCAAAAGTAAAGGAAGGGACCATTCAACGAAGGTGCCGCGAAGCATCCATCCGAAGTCGCCATTTGTTTTTTCATTTCATGCAGTTTCGCATTACACCGTACATTGTGGTAGGGGTATATCGGACACCAAATCTGCCCACGACCACTTTTTGAGCTAAACTTCCGGTAAATTATATGAATATTGATGAATTTGGTATCAGTTAGTAAAAAAAAATAGTGTTTTACGAGAAAATTATGATTATTTTGTTTTGTCCGTTGTTTTTTGTTTTTTTTTTCCTCTTTGAAATGTCAAAGTTGGGGTGCGGCCTATGCGGCGGTGTGGCCTTATCGCCGGTAAAACGGTAGTCAGCCTCGTAGCTATATAAAAAATGTGCTTTCATTGTGCGCAACTATTCGGTGTGGTGTATTCAGAAAGAGCAATGCGTTTGTACACAAATCTCCTGGGTTCGAAGCCTTTTTTTTATTGGTTTCTCTAATTTTTCTGCTTCTATTGTAAGTAAGTTATTATTGTAGTGGACTTGCCCTTTAAAGGGATCGTTTAACAGTGGTAAATCTGAGATACACGGCCCTACGTGTTATCAGTGTCTGTGATATGGTGAAATATTGAAGCCCTAAAAAAATTGCGCTTCAAAATGATCAGGAAGTGCCTCAAAAAAGTAAAAATCTTTGAGTGACCGGTTTTACCATACTCGTTTTCCCCAATAGACTGTAGTGTTATGAAAACCGTCAGGCGAACGGTTTTCAAAATTTGTAATTCTAATCATAAATATCTTGATAATCAGACAGGCGATTGGCTTGTAAAAGTCATGGGGTACCTGACTGACCTAAAGGTTTATAATTATTATTGCATCATGAGCTAAATCCAGAATTTTATTTCAGAATCTGAGACAAAGTTACCGGCTCCCTTTAATGATTGCTGGTGAAACTTCAAGAAAATACAAGTGTTATAGATGTACCGGTATTCTCCCTCAAAGTCGTCATAGCGGATAATAAGTCCAGTTGTTAAGGAAGAAAAAAATTTGCAGGCCAACCGACATTATACATCTACACCAACATCTACACCAACAGTCCTTTTCAGGACTACACACCCTCAAGAAAGATTACCGAGAGTCCTTTTGAGGACTCCTCAATCCTCCCTCTCTCTCACATGGTGCACCCGCAAGCCTACTGTATATTATCTGTATCTCGCCGAGTTTAAACAGTACCCAAGGATCGAGCTACAATACTGACACAGCAACATATCTATATAATCTATGCGTATCTTTCTTGCTCCCTTGACGAGATTACTTCACCCAGCAACGCCCCCCCCTCCCTTACTCTCACCCCACCTCTCTCATGCTCTTACCCCCCCCCCCCTTCTCTTTCATCCCCCCATTTCTTTTTGTCTCTTTTTCTTTTTTTCCCCTTTTTTTTTTCCTTTTCTCCTTTCCTTTCTTTTCTTTCTTTTCATTTTTTCCCTCCTTACTCTTTTTCTTTTTTCTTTTTTCTCTTTCTTCTCCTTCCTTTCTCTTCCTTTCTTTTCCTTTTCCTTTCTTTTTTCTCTTTCTTTCTTCTCTTCTCTTTCCTTTCTTTTCCTCTCATTTTTTCCCTCCCCCTTTTCTCATTTTACCTGACGGCAGCACAATTTTACCAACAAATGCCTGATGGGAGGGGGGGGGGGGGGGTGTTGCAACCCCGACACCTCCCTCTAGTGACGCCCCTGCATGTAACAGCAATCAAATAACAATCCCTTTTTGTTTTTGTTAAATTTGAATAATATTTTGCCTTTTGTGACGTTTCATGAAATCAGTAAACATAACATTTAATGTTTTTATTGTGAGAAGTTGACAATATTTATGCACAGTCAATGTGATGTAAAATATTCTAAATAAAAGAGTTCTTGTTGTTGTTTTCAACCTCATTCAAAACAAATTACTGTATATTCCATCCGATCACATGTAATGAATATTGTCTGCATAACTTTGAATCTGATGGAGATGACTTCATTAAAATGATTATAACAATGTGAACCTGTTTGTCATTCTCAATAGATTCTGGACTCTATAGATGTGGGGACTGTGGATCACTCTATGCCATTCCTCTTGTTTTAGCGAGGCATCTCAAGTACAAACATGGACACTATGGTATCGTCCCACCAGCAGGTGCATCAAAGGAAGACATTCTACAGTTCATCAAAGGAGAAATCAGAAGTACTAAAAAAAACTATGTATGTAATCACTGTGGCAAGGCATTTGATCTAATAAATAATCTCACAAAACATAAACAAATCCATACAGGTGAGAAGCCCTATGTTTGTTATCAATGTGGTAAGGCATTTAATCAAGCTGGTGATCTCACAAAACATAAACAAATCCATACAGACAAGATGTCCTATGAATGTGATCAATGTGGTAAGGCATTTAATCAAGAACATAATCTCACGAGACATGAACGCATCAATACAGGAGAGAAGTTGTATGTATGTGATCAATGTGGTAAGGCATGTAATCAAGCTGGTGATCTCAAGAAACATAAGCGCATCCATATAGGTGAGAAGCCCTATGCATGTGATCAATGTGGTAAGGATTTTAATAAAGCAAGTAATCTCAGAACACATAAACGCATCCATACAGGAGAGAAGCCCTTTGTATGTGATCAGTGTGGTAAGGCATTTAATCGTGAAGATGGTCTCACAACACATAAACGCATCCATACAGGTGAGAAGCCCTATGCATGTGATCAATGTGGTAAGGCATTTAATAGTGCAGGTAATCTCAGAACACATAAACGCATCCATACAGGAGAGAAGCCGTATGTATGTGATAAATGTGGCAAGGCATTTAATCGTGAAGATGTTCTCACAAGACATAAACGCATCCATACAGACGAGATGTCCTATGTATGTGATCAATGTGGTAAGGCATTTAATCAAGAACATAATCTCACAAGACATAAACGCATCCATACAGGTGAGAAGCCATATGTATGTGATCAATGTGGTAAGGCATTTAATCAAATGAATAGTCTCACAGCACATAAACGTATCCATACAGGTGAGAAGCCCTTTGTATGTGATCAGTGTGGTAAGGCATTTAATCGTGAAGATGCTCTCGCAACACATAAACGCATCCATACAGGTGAGAAGCCCTATGCATGTGATCAATGTGGTAAGGCATTTAATGATGCAGGTAATCTCACAAAACATAAACGCATCCATACAGGAGAGAAGCCGTATGTATGTGATCAATGTGGCAAGGCATTTAATCGTGAAGATGGTCTCACAAGACATAAACGCATCCATACAGACGAGATGTCCTATGTATGTGATCAATGTGGTAAGGCATTTAATCAAGAACATAAACTCACAAGACATAAACGTATCCATACAGGTGAGAAGCCATATGTATGTGATCAATGTGGTAAGGCATTTAATCAAGAACATAAACTCACAAGACATAAACGTATCCATACAGGTGAGAAGCCCTTTGTATGTGATCAATGTGGTAAGGCATGTAATCAAGCTAGTGATCTCAAGAAACATAAGCGCATCCATACAGGTGAAAAGCCTTATGTATGTGATCAATGTGGTAAGGCATGTAATCAAGCAGGTAATCTCAGAAAACATAAATGCATCCATACAGGAGAGAAGCCCTATGTATGTGATCAATGTGGTGAGGCATTTAGTCATCCATCATCAGCGTTACGTCAACATAAAAAGGACTGTAAAGGAACATTCTCTCGGTGCATTAATATTCTTACACAAACGTCAATGTACAATGATAATGCAAATGAAATGCAGAATCAAATATTCATCAAATGTGAAGGCTTCTGTTGAAGAAGAAAACGGACAAAAGGATACTGATTAAAATTTTTGTCACCTTTCTTGTATAAAAGAATTATTTTTGCCTCTTTCCAAGTGGCTGAAATCTGTTGTTTTTCCAATATCTGGTTGAATAGTTTCAGTAACTGTGTAATTGTCTCCTCCCCTTCTTGTTTGATAATATCACTTGTTATTACGTCATTTCCCGGTGCCTTGTTGTCCTTCATACTGCTTACAGCTTCCTCAACTTCTCTCTGTAGTATTGGCGGTATGTCTGAGTTTCTGGATGAGATATCTATATGATCCTTCTGTTGTTTTTTCGTTGAACCATATAGTTCCTGGTAGAAATCAGTGCATATTTCTAGTACGGTAGTTCCAATCTCTCAGAAGGTATATTTCCATCTTTTTGCTTCAATTTGCTCATTCTTGACTTTTTGCATTCCATCTTTTGTGTCTAATCAATATTTATGAAGAAAAATGTAATAAAAGAAAACTAACAAGGTATTAAAGAAAAGAAGAAAAAGTTGACATGTGGTCAACTGTTCTTTATTGTATCTTATATTGGTATATTGCCACATTTGCCTATATGGTCATCCCATACCAGAGCAATATCCCACGTGACCAAGAATACAAAGAATGCATAACTACATGTATATATAGAAAAAGGGATATTTCAAAAGGTTCACAAGACCGACAGCCTATGATCCCTACAAAACAAAGAATTACATAAAGGAAGATAGACATGTCATGGGGTGTGTTGGTCTCACGGGTCATTGTCTAGATGAACCTTCTGAAAAGTGTCTTTGTGTCGGTCTCGTGAGCTGATGGTCTAGTGAACTCTCAGAATAGTTGACAAAAGGATTGCGAGACCGACTATGTCAGTCTAATTGGCTGTCATTCTGTGAAGGCTGTAGCTAGCAATAATAAATAGATACATAATAGATGCATCCTTTATAACTGATTAATTAATTAAAGCCTGTTTATATTAACTTTCATCAAGCTTTAGTTTACTGTTTGATACTCTTGGAATTGAATTGTTCAGAGAAGATTATTGTAAATGTCTGAAGATGAGGCATGAAATTTGTAATGAAATTAATACCTATTCTCTATTTACAACAATATATCAAAGTTTAAAAGAAAGATGTTAAATTTTACATGTTAAATGGTAATTCATCATTGAGATATTTCCATTAATCTAAATCAGACTAAACCAAAGTGAAGCATAATAATGATGTCAGTGCCTTTTAACCAATCTTTATATCGTAAATAATGGTGATTTAAGAATAGCAGTTTTACGCTTGGTATTCTCTTGTGTGCTTTTTCAAGCATTGGCATGTAGATCCTATGTATACTAGAAATTTCTCATTTTTGTTCATGATTTCAGTTCAATGATATGAGAAGATGAATAAGTTTTATGTTCATGTAAATTTGCAAGTAACTATTAATAAACTTTTTTTCCTTTAGATAAATATAGTTTTTAAAACCCTGTGAATATATAGGACAAAGTTGCCTATATATCAATTCCTGCTATTTGGCAATATTATGCAACAGTTTCAAACTAAAAATGTTGAGGCTACACGCAATCTCTCTCATAGCGTATTGATAGAGATAGTTTTGACATTCACGTTCAAAGGTCAATAAACAAATATCCATAGCGTGTGAGGGAGATAGTTTTGACTTTCACGTTCAAAGGTCAATAAACAAATATCCATAGTGTCATTAGCGTGTGAGGGAGATAGTTTTGACTTTCACGTTCAAAGATCAATTCATGAAGCTCCATAGCGTATCGAGGAAGATATTATGTATTTTCTGATATTTTAGAATTATTCGTATTGTGGTGTATGAATAGAATTTATAATATTCAGTATTGTTGCACGAAATTGTAATTAATGTTTCTCTTACTATAATCGTTGAACATGTTTTCTAATTTCTTTTCCTCGGAAACAGACGATGTCCAAGTGAAATTGAAATTACCGCAGTGAAAAGTGTTATTGATATATTTCATATTTGAATTGTTCAAATGTTGGTTGTTTTTTTATTAAAATGTTTATTGCATCTAAAATGTTTGTTATATGTACTGTTTCTTCATATTGAAGATGTTATTGGATTTTCACGAGTTGTTTTTGTAGACGACTTTTATTAAATTTGATGAACATCAAGTTCAATTATGTGCTTGTATTGTCATTGGAACAAAGGTCAAATGGTTCTAAAGGTACTTTCCCGGAAGCGTAATTTTTTTCCCACTTGAGCTCGGGACCCCCAGTATGAACTCATTTGCATACAGCCAATCAGAGCTCATCTTGTCAATAACAAGCTTTACGCGTGCTAAAGATGCTAAATTCGAAATGGTGCAAAGCTCTGGGCTATTGGCTGTATGCAAATACTGGGGGTCCATAGGTCAAGTGGGAAAAAAAATTACGCTTCCCGGAAATGAAAAAAAAAGAGAAGCGACATATTGTAGAACAAGACAGTGACTGAGAGTAAAGAGATATGCGCACATGAGTTTGACGGGTGCAGAAGAGAGAGAGAGAGAGACGCACACAATGAGTAGGAAAGGGAGAGAGAGAGAGAAACACACACATTGATATATGAGTAGGAAGGTGAAGGAGAGAGAGAGATAGGGGGATACAATTTGTAAGACTGATCGGGCGGGAGAGAAAGAGGGAGTTTGGTTGGAGTCAGCGAGAGAGAGAGAGAGAGAGATTACTTATTTTTTATTTTTTTTTTTTTGGGGGGGGGGGGAGGCACAAGGATTATGGACACAAGCAGCTTAGAACAGCAGATATTAAGATTGTGGGAAAAGGGAGAGAGGGGGGGGGGGATATGTGAAGTTGTGAATCAAGGCTCAAAATACCTTTATAAATATATTTATTGGAATAAAAATGTTTTATAAAAAATAGGTATTTAACGTAAATGAATTAAGTGCAATATGCGACTTTTAAATCTTCCTTGCTGAAATAACACACTATATAGGTCTATATAATATACATAGGCGTCGTATCGGGGGGAGGGGGGGGGCAGGAGGGGCGGGAGCCAAAACAAATAGTGCTCACTACCCCCCCCCCCCCCCCCCCGGTGAATTATTTATTATTATTTATATTATTTAAAACAAAATATTTCCAGTCTTCTTTACTGATAATTGAATTTTCGCGTGCCGACCGTGACCCCCCCCCCCCCCCCCCCCCCCCCCCCCCCCCCCCCCCCCCCAGAACGGTCCTTGATGAACAAGCTCAAAGATCGGATCGTCGTGGGAAGTCTCAAGTTTGGACGATCAAATGATCACTGATCTCTACGGGATTTTTCCGTAGAGATCAGTGGTTGTGATAGAATAACTAGAAGGCTAGATTTCTATGCAATCGAAACCGGGCTGACAAGATTAAACATATTAAAAAGCAGAGGTACGAAGTTGTAAATCATCTAGAATGTCCTAATAAATTGCGATACTGGTGAATTATTTATATTATTTAAAACAAAATATTTCCAGTTTTCTTTACTGATAACTGAATTTTCTTATACAACTAAAGATATGGCAAATATATTTAGTATGCAGCTCGTATATGTGCCATGTGAACGCACGCCATAAAACTCCTAGGAACAGCAACATGCACAGTGATGTTGCATTGGGCGAGAGGTAGCTGCATGCTGTGTATAAAGCCAAGGGACCTCGAAGGATTTTCATCGGGCCGCGGCCGGGTACGTAGAGCTCTGCTGTATGCTATCGTGTTTTAGCTGCAGCCTCTGCTAAAATGTTCGAGAGAAGCCAGAAAAAACACAAATTACGCACGAAAATTTCAGGTATGTTCAAATTATCACCGTTAACAACCACACATCATATTTTACATCATTGAAGGCCGAAACCTCCCATTTTATAGTCGGTCTAAGCACTCCACCACACCACAATATCCTCGTTTAGATTTCTAGTTGCTGAAAAGGCTTTTGACGAGTACCAGCATAGAAGTAGACGTCCAGCAAAGCATTTGGAGAGTCAATGCTAATGCGTATTGACCTCTAGCACTGCACTACTGTTAATAGGCAGCATTTGAATACATGAATACTCAATACACTCGCAACACAGAAATGCACACAATCATGCCGATGCAGCTGACCGGGAAGTTTGACAGTAGACCCTAGTCTAGATCTTTTTTAATTATTCTTTCTAACATCGGTAAAGTTAAAATATTGTATTTTACTGTTATTTAGGTGTCATCAATTGTCACTAAAGTACTGATTTTGAGTGAAATCATTTGAGTTTTGTACAGTTGTGTGTGAAATGTTGAGAACCAATACAATTGCACAGCTTTTAATACAGCCAGGATGTGTGACTGTCACTGTGTGTGACCGATTCAAGACTTGCCGCTGACAAAATGACGAGCGACTGCATTAATTTGATCCGATTTCGCGCAGAATTTAAATGTCAAAATCAGGCTTTTTAGACTCTTTCCCAGTGCAAAGCCACACCCACTCTCTCGGGCCTGTCTAGTTCAGAGCTACCAGGCCAAGTGTCACGCATTAGGCGTGACATCACGCATTTCAAGGGTCTGAAAATACTCTTACGCATGATGCGCGCGCTAGAGTTTGAAAAAACGCTTTTTTTTATACGTGTGTTATACCCTCGCGCGCCGAATCATGAAATTGTCACGCATTGCCGATCTTTGAACTTTGCGTCTCTGCAGCCACTCTCTCTCGGGCCTGTCTAGTCATATGAACGTCATGCTTGACCATGAAATTCAACTGTTTCAAGGTTTTTCAAAGCTTATCTTACGATTGTTAGTCTAGATCTAGTATTCTAGTGTAGAATGAATCCCAAACCTTATTTTTGGTCTGGACAAGCTCTGGAGCAAAATAGCAAATCTCCTTTTTTTATGATACTTAAGTTTGGAAGATGTGTGAGTTGGCTTGTACTGGTTGTTGTAGTTGTATTACTATTACTATTGATAATTACTTATATATTAAACCACTCCAGCAAAGCATAGAGTCTTCTTCTTCTTCCTGAAAAGTGCAGGCTTCATGAAATGAAGATTAACGCACTATTATGCTAACCTCTAGCGCTGAACAGGTTTTCAATTTTCCCTTTTGGATTGTCTTTCACCGTCATGGTTGGATAATTAAAAAAAATCAACTAGACCTACTCAGAAGAACACATTTCAAATTACAAGGCTCACTGATGTTTCAAAAGATACAGCCCCCCCCCCCCAAAAAAAAAAATCTAGGCAATATTCTTCTTCTTCCTTTTTTAGTACAGACCTCTTTACAGAGTATTATCGTACTATACTGGGGGTGTGTGCAGGTGGACCACTACACCGGGGTTTCCCCCTACTCTTATACGAATAGTGCAGTGGGTTCTTAATGTGCAAAGGTAGTGAAACTTCTCTACACAGGGCCTCCATTTAACGTCCTATCCGAGGGACGGAGTGTTTTCCACTTGGCATATCCTGCATCTATGAACAAGGGAAGGGGCATGTTAACACACCACGCAGGCTTCAGTCATCAGCCTGGGTGGAAGTCGAACACGGGATCTTTGGTTCGACAGACGGACGCTTTACCGACTGAGCCAACTCGACTCCTTAAGTTCAGTTCAGAAGTCTATCCAAAATTTGACCCGAAACCTTACTATAACATACCCAAAATGAAATTAATATTCATCAAGATCATGATTTAAAAGTCGATATGTTTTTACCTGTTTCGTGTCAATTTTCTTATGTTTTTCAGAGTATTTTCCTAAAAACAAAGACTTATAATATGCACTTTCTCTTGGGATTCACGGCAAACTGAAGCAAAATACAATACATACTGTCCCGACGTTCGGGTGCGGGAGCGTGCATGTGTTAAGTTAGAGACTGTAATCTTAGTTAAGACAAAATAATATGAGAAGTTATAGGACAGACGGATTCATGCCAGGGTTGGCTGTTAACAGCAACAATTAAACTATAAGATGAAAATCTCGATCATTTTGATAAGGATAAGTTGGGAATAAACTAAATCAATTTGTGCATATTTTTATTTCAGACAGGAGAAAGGAGAAACCCCAACCAGCCACTAGACAGTCTAGATACCCGAAGAGAGCAGTGAGCCGCAAGTCCTACAACAAAGAACATGTTCCCGATGGTTAGCATACAGCTTTGTAATAAATTTGTATTCTAATGAACCATGTAACCAGGGGCGTCGCTAGAACTTTTTCAGTGGGGGGGGGGGGCTGTAGAGGCCATCAATTACCGACAGAACTAGCCACCAATTTCCAACAAATACTTGAATGCCAATGTCTACAAATTTAACCCTATAAACCCGGGGCTGGGGGCTTATTTTCCTATGAACTGTCTATACCTGCGCATGTGCACATGGTAACTTTGCTTGACCTCATAAATATTGGTTGATTTTGTCAGGACTAGTCAGCATCGTAGCTATATAAAAAATGTGCTACCATTGTGTGCAACTATTTGATGCGTCGTGAATGCAAAGAGCGATGCATTTGTACACAAATCTCCTGGGTTTGAAGCTCGATGGGGTAATTTTTGAATCCCTTTTTTCTTTGCTCAAACTTTTTTTGATTGGTTTTTCTAATTTTTCTACTTCTATTGAAAGTAAATTATTATTGTAGTGGACTTGCCCTTTAATGATTGCTGGTGAAACTTCGAGAAAATACAAGTATTAAAGTTGTACCGGTAGTCTCCCTCAAAGTCTTCACAGCAGATAAAAAGTCATAGTTCTTGAGGAGAAAAAATTTTGCAGGCCTACCGACATTATACATCTCGCAGAGTTCAAACTTCTGCATTCATTAGATATATTACACCAGGATCGAGCGAGAATACTGACACAGCTGACCCGACACAGCAACATATTTATGCGTATCTTTCTTGCTCCCTCGACAAAATTATTCCGTCCAACAACCCCCCCCCTTCCTACTCCCACCCCTCCTCTCTCATGCTCTTACCCCCCCCCCCTTCTCTCCCCTCTCTTTCATCCCCCATTTCTTTTTTCTCATTTTCTCTTTTTTCCCCTTTTTTTCCTTTTCTCCTTTCCTTTTTTCCTTTCCTTTCTTTTCTCCTTTCCTTTCTTTTCTTTCATATCATTTTTTCCCCTCCTTTCTCTTTTTCTTTTTTCTCTTTCTTCTCCTTCCTTTCTTTTCCTTTCTTTCTTTTCCTTTCTTTCTTTTCCTTCCTTTCTTTTCCTTTCCTTTTCCTTTCCTTTTTTTCTTTCTTGTTCATTCCCTCTCATTTTTTCCCTCCCCCTTTTCTCATTTTACCCGACGGCAGCGCAATTTTACCATCAAATGCCCGATGGGATGGGGAGGGGTTGGGGAGGGGGGTTTGTTGCATTCCCGACACCCCTTCTAGTGATGCCCCTGCATGTTAAATCAATCAAATACAAATACCTTTTTGTTTTTGTTAAATTTGAATAATATTTTGCTATTTGCGACGTTTCATGAAATCAGTAAACATAACATTTAATGTTTTTATTGTGAGAAGTTGACAATATTTATGCACAGTCAATGTGATGTAAAATATTCTAAATAAAAGCGTTCTTGTTGTTGTTTTCAACCTCATTCGAAACAAATTACTGCATTTTCCATCCGAACACATATAATGATTATTGTCTGCATAACTTTGAATCTGATGGAGTTGACTTCATTAAAATATTTATAACAATTTAAACCTGTTTGTCATTCTCGATAGATTCTGGAGTCTATAGATGTGAGTACTGTGGATCACTCTATGCCATTCCTCTTGTTTTAGCGAAGCATCTCAAGTACAAACATGGACACTATGGTATCATCCCACAGGCAGGTGCACCAAAGAAAGATGTTCTACAGTTCATCAAAGGAGAAATCAGAAGTACTAAAATAACCTATGTATGTGATCAATGTGGCAAAGCATTTAATCAAGCTGGTGATCTCACAAAACATGAACGCATCCATACAGGTGAGAAGCCCTATGTATGTGATCAATGTGGTAAGGCATTTAATCATGAACCTAGTCTCACAACACATAGACGCATCCATACAGGTGAGAAGCCCCATGTATGTGATCAATGTGGAAAGGCATTTAATCGTGAAGATGTTCTCACAAGACATAAACGCATCCATACAGACGAGATGTCCTATGTATGTCATCAATGTGGCAAGGCATTTAATCAAGAACATAATCTCACAAGACATAAACGCATCCATACAGGTGAGAAGCCCTATGCATGTGATCAATGTGGTAAGGCATTTAATCGTGAATATCGTCTCAAAACACATAAACGAATTCATACAGGTGAGAAGCCCTATGTATGTGATCAATGTGGCAAGGCATTTAATGAAGAAAATAATCTCACAAGACATAAACGCATCCATACAGGTGAGAAGCCCTTTGTATGTGATCAATGTGGCAAGGCATTTAATCTTGAAAATAGTCTCACAAGACATAAGCGCATCCATACAGGTGAGAAGCCCTATGTATGTGATCAATGTGGCAAGGCATTTAATCTTGCAAATAATCTCACAAGACATAAGCTCATCCATACGGGTGAGAAGCCCTATGTATGTGATCAATGTGGTAAGGCATTTAATCGTGTGGGTGATCTCACAAGACATAAACGCATCCATACAGGTATGAAGCCTTATGTAGTATGTAGGTATGTGATCAATGTCGTATAGCATTTAATCAAGCCGGAATCTAACAACACATGTACGCATCCATACAGGTGAGAAGCCCTTTGTATGTGATCAGTGTGGTAAGGCATTTAATTGTGTGATATGTGTAATGATACTCTACGTATAGGGCTTTAAAAGATAAAGACCAGTTATGGTCATGCGATTGCATTGTGAAAGAAACGTTGTGGAATCGATCAGAAAAGGTTGATCATCTTTAAAGATAAACTTGAGTTTTGGTAAAAAAAGAAAATGAATTCTCACAGAATCTAACGAAACTTACACTGAATGTTCAAGATTACAAATAAATGTCATGTGCCAAACAATTTTGGAAGAAAATGTATACTGGCTGAGTAATGAGCATAGAAAGATAAGGAAATCAGGGTAGTACTAGCCCCGACATCATGTGTGTTGTCCCATATACATCTATCTGTTTAAATGATTGTTACTTTACCAAGACTCTGCCAAATTATGATGATTTTGATGACTCTAGAACCTTGCATTACACACCATTACTTACATGCTATATGATCAACTTTTCGGATCCATTCCACACCTTTTCTTTCACAATGCAATCACATTACCAGTACTCAAGTTTATCTTTAAGTATTGGTGTGAACTGCAAGGTTCTGGAATCATCAAAATGATAAGAAATTTGGCCCAGTCTTGGTAAAGTTACGAGCACTGTCGCAGAAAGATGTATATGGGACTACGCAACACGTCCACGATAACTATCAGGTCCAAATAGATATAATAATTTACCAAATACATCAATTAGCAGGCGGTTTCTCAGCAAAATTTGTATCATCACGTATTAGTCAAAACATTCTTTCACATGATGTGATTGGTAATTAAGAGCTTCCATTTCCTTTTTTGAGAGGCGTTTCCAAAACTGGTCTTTACCTTTAATACTATGCACTCAGGAAATTCCAATCTAAAATACTAATTTAAATGTGTATGGACAATCTAATAAAATGCAATGCATAACATTGTACTAGATGACTGAAAGTGGTTGGTATGTTAATAATATATTAACAGCAACACATTCTGATCATTCTAATAAGAAACATACACTCTTGTTGATATTTCAATTAATTTCTTTGTTATGATCCAGGCTATATTAATAGTTAGCATCGTAGGAAGGTGAATTTCATTTCTTACTTTGTCTTCATAAAAATTGCTTTGTGTAGAAAGCTGATTATGTAGTACATGTACGTGTATTAATTACTGCTATTATTTGAAAATTTTGTATGTGACATTTTTTATTTGATTTGATTTGAATTTATTTCCATATTTCACAAATATATTTGAACAAGTGATTATACAATAACAAACAAACAATACATTCAAAAACGAAATACAATTAAGTGAATAAATTGAAGACTTAAGTACAATAAAATATTAAATAATCAACGATTCGTTTGTAATTAACATAACATGTAGTATGGGGAACCAAAAAGAAGCAATTGTTGTAAAAATATTTGGTTCCCAGGGGTAATTGTGTCTAATCAATATTAATCAAGAACTAGACTTGAATTCGTCACGAAGACGAATAAGGTGGTCTGTCTAAGTCTTATGATAGATTTGAGAATGGGAGAAGTTATATAGACATGTAAACAATGATGATGATGATGGTGAAATTGATGATGATGATGATAATGATGATGATAATATTGATGACGATGATGATGACGATGATGAGTATGAGCATGATCCTGACATCTGATTGAAAAAATGAGGGAGATGTAGATAGCATATAGTCTCAGCTACATTATACTCAAAAATCAACAAAAAACAAGCGGAAATAACGGCGATATTGCTCGCAAAAGACAGGAAAGTAGAATCCAGATTTAAGAAAAAGTCATCTCCCATAAGTATTACAAGCAAAAAGTAATGGATCAAGTGATAATAGGGTAATAATAAATTAAATATAGTTGTTTATTACATTATTTGCGATTCTACGTGTTTTAATATTCAAATGAGATGGTACAGTGAAAGGTCAAAAAGAAAAAAAAGTGAAGAAAAAAAATTGTTGGAGACGCCCGGACTCGAACCAGGGACCTCGAGGTCGGAAGTCAAGTGCGTTACCGATATACCAAAAAATTTCACATAGAGATTACACGTAAACGGAAAATGAAATTCTCAAATCCCACTTTGTAAGTGAAATATGAGCATGATCCCGGCATCTGATCGAAAAATAAAGGCCACACTTGTGATAGCTTATTGTCTCAGCTACAACATACTCTAAGCTCAGCGTAAACAAAGATAAAACGACGGAGATATTGCTCGCGAAAGACGAGAATGTAGAATCCAGTTTTGAGAAAAAGTCATGTCCCATAGAGAATACACGCAAAATGTGAAAAATTGACATGCCTCCTTTAATCTTAAAAATACGCCATGATGCCTTTGTCAAAATGAAATATCGTGGTTACTGCATTTGTAGAGAATATCCTCAGGTAGAACATATCAAAATTTGAAAGAAAATTGATCAACATTTACAGAGATACAATCAATTTTCAAAAAATCTGCTGACGTCATAATATGAAAATTGAAATTATGAGTTCGGAGGCCATTATGATGACGTCATGAGTTAATTGAGGGTCAAATGACACATGAAATCATATCTCCAACTCATGTTTTTTCTAACCATGATATAAAAGTTGGGGTCAATTGACTCTCTGAAGAGCTATTTTGATTTTTAAAATGGGATGTTTTTGATCAAATTTGCATTATATTGCCCATAGCAGCCCGCGCGGATTTTGAACTTTGACGCGCGCTCACGGCCTTATAAAAGGTCAAGAGTGACTGAAATTAATGTAAATTGTCATTTATGGTTAGAGGAATCCAAATCATGTAAAAAAAAATGAAGTTGACCTTTTCCGCGCGTTGTGAGCGCGCGCAACGCGCGCGTGGACACGTACGGACGGAAAATTTTGAAATGCTTAAAATGACCTAATTCGTACTCTCCTTTAATAGTAAAGTGATTTTGAGCATTTTCAAATTTTGACGCGCACGTACGCGCGCGTCATGACCTTTATGTGACCTTTGATGACATGACCTTTTGACCCTTTACCTGAAATATATGTGATATGGATATGAATGACCTTTGCTTATGCATCATGAAGATATGATGGATAACGTGATTTCACAAAATGGCGCCTGGATGACGTCACGATGACGTGATGACCTTGAAAATGTTCCTGTCACGTCTCATGACAATGACCTATGACTGTGCCAAAATTGAATGAAATTGACGAAACCGAACTTGAGTTATCCTAGGCACAAAAAAGTGTAGGAAATAAATAAAAATAAAGAATAATAATAAAGAAAGAAAATTCTGACGAAAACAATAGGTGATCTGTCGTTGACAGACCACCTAAAAATGTAATGAAAGAAAACGAAACACAGTAAGAAAGAAGAAAAAAAATTGACATTGTGGTCAACTGTTCTTTAACGATAGGGCCTATTATACAGTGTGAGTCAAAAAAAAGTTTACACCTAGAAAGTTGCTAATTATTTTTAAAATCGTCTATGAACAGTGATTTATTATACATTTATTATACATCTTATGAAAGAGGGTTTGATCCCAAGTCATTTGGTATCTTTTTTGTATGGTATGTAAACTATGTATCCACGTGGATGAACAGGAGTGCAAAAATCGACTTGCGCCAAAGTTGCTTATGTGATGTTTGGATAAAACAATTGGGATTTGGGTATTAATTTGGTCTTTGCAGATCCAAATAACATTCCTAACAAAATTTATCATGCCACACATATATCAAATATCAATGTCAACGAACATTCGTGCACGTGTGTGTGTGTGTACTTTGCTCCTACAAAAAGCATATGCAAAGCATTTCATTTGATACATTCAATTCATTCTCTCACGCCGCTAATCCCAACATAATACATACTGTAGGCATCACTTTGGCGCAAGTCGATTTTTGCACTTTCGCAAACAATGATATGATATGTTTCATACTTGAATTGTTGTTCGAATGTTGGTTGTTGTTCATGGAAATGTATAGATATGATGTTTGTTATGTGCTGTTTTGTCATATTTAAGATTTTATTGGATTTTCACGACTTTTTTTTGTAGATGACTTTTATTAAATTGGATGTATTGCTTGTATTGCCATATTAGAACAAAGGCTTGAATGGTTATGATAGTACGTTCCCGTAGACTATATAATAGTGACCGAGGGTAGAGAGAGATATATGCACATAAATTACGAGAAGGAAGAGTGAAGGAGACGGAGGAGGGAGTGAGATTGGGGGATATAATTTGTAAGAGATCGGACGGGAGAGAGGGAGTTTGGATGGAGTCGGCGAGAGAGAGTATGGGGGGGGGGGGGGGGGGGGTCGGAGGCGCGAGGATTATGAATTCAAACAGCTTAGAATATCGGAGATCAAGATTGTGGGGAAAAAGCGAGAGAGTGAACCAAGGAAGTAACTTTATTAATAAAATATGAATTAGCTAGTGCAATAATTAAGCGTCTTTTAAATCTTCCTTGCTGAAATAACGCATTTATCATTTTACATAGGCGCCAGAAGCGGGGGGGGGGGGGGGGGGGGGGGGGCAGAAGCTACAAGGGACATCCGGCCCCCACCGTAAATGAAAGGGGGGGGGGGGGACAAAACGAGTACCCCCCCCCCTTCGAAAAAAAGCAATAAGGACTAAAAATTGTTTATATTTGTTAACCAAAAAGAATATAATTATGAAACCTGAACCGAATCATATACAAATGATGAGTTAACAGGAATTCAATTTCTAATTCCGAATTCCGATTCCGCATGCCCATATAGTTCTCAAAGGAGGATTTTGTGTTGGCGATTCGGCAGTAATGTGTGGAAATAATGTGAGCCTGGCCTATATACTGAGTCAGCACATGTGCCTCCGAACTCCTCATCCCCCCCCCCCCCCCCCCCCCCAGGACCAAAATCCAATTGAAACCAGTTGAAATCTCCAACTGGTTTCAATTGGTTTCAACTGGTTTCAATTGGTTTCAATTGGAATATAAAATTTCCAGTTGAAACCAATTGCAGAACTGGAAAATATTGTTATGGGTACTCATTTCCAGTTCAAACCAATAAGAAGTGCAACTGGAACCAGTAAGGTAATTTTTCCAGTTACTCAATTGGTTCCAGTTAGAAGTCATTTCCAGCTACCCAACTGGTTCCAGTTAGAAGTTCAATTGGAAACAGTAAGATGATTTTCCTGTTACTCAATTGGTTCCAGTTAGAATTCATTTCCAGTTACCCAACTGGTTCCAGTTAGCATTCATTTCCAGTTAGAAGCCATTTCCAGTTACCCAACTGGTTCCAGTTAGAAGTCATTTCCAGTTACCCAACTGGTTCCAGTTAGCATTCATTTCCAGTTAGAATTCATTTCCAGTTACCCAACTGGTTCCAGTTAGAATTCATTTCCAGTAACCCAACTGGTTCCAGTTAAAATTCATTTCCAGTTACCCAACTGGTTCCAGTTAGCATTCATTTCCAGTTAGAAGTCATTTCCAGTTATAGAAGTCATTTCCAGTTACCCAACTGGTTCCAGTTAGAATTTATTTCCAGTTACCCAACTGGTTCCAGTTAGCATTCATTTCCAGTTAGAAGTAATTTCCAGTTACCCAACTGGTTCCAGTTAGAATCCATTTCCAGTTACCAAATTGGTTCCAGTTAGCATTCATTTCCAGGTAGAAGTAATTTCCAGTTACCCAACTGGTTCCAGTTAGAATTCATTTCCAGTTACACAATTGGTTCCAATTGGAAATATTTCCAGTTACCCAACTGGATCCAATTGAAACCAGTTAATTTGCATATTATCTGCTTGTGTGCAGATCAATGTTTTATGTAATTTATTTTGATTTACAATGTACTTATTAATTAATTTTCGTTTGCAAGTAATGCATTTGTTTTAGATAAATATAAAGATTAATTAGCAATGATAAGCATGTTCATTAGTAACATATTTTTGTAATTACACAGATTAAAAGTTGATTAGTAAAACACTAACCATGTACAAAATACATCAAATACAAACATATATAATGGCAATGCCTTCCTTGTTTAGTATATTATATGATCTGCATATTATAATGCCCTATGTATAGACACATATCACAATGCTTCTGTGTTGACATGAGCGATAATTAGTGCAAGAGCTAATTAACTTATAACTAATTAAGTTTATGCCAACTGTAAGTTTCAATTGGATCCAATTGAAACCAATTGAAACCAGTTGAAACCAATTGAAACCAGTTGAAACCAATTGAAACCAATTGAAGCCAACTGGTTTCAATAGGGAAATTGGAACAACTGGTTCCAGTTGAAACCAATTAGGCAACTGGAACCAGTTGGCAATTGGTTTCAACTGGTTTCAATTGGAACCAGTTGGCAATTGGTTTCAACTGGTTTCAATTGGAACCAGTTGTTCCAATTTGCTCCAATTGGTTTCAACTGGATTTTGGTCCGGCCCCCATCCTCTTTGAGGTGATGACCCTTTAGTGGAAGCGTTTAATTGACAGCATCTCTGTAAGGAAATTATGTCGTGCCCCACCCCCCCCCCCTATACAAAATTAAAGAAAACAATATAAAAAATAATAAAAGGAAAAACATAACCAAAACATCAAAATAAACAATATTAAAACGTTGATAAGGAAGAAAAGAAAAGAATTTGACATCGACAAAATATTCATCATTTATAAGTTGCTTAGCTAAACGGTTTGATCTGCCTTACTTATTCTTGAGATTATAGTTGGGAGGTTATAGATCTAGGCCTATTCCAAATAATCAATCGTCCTTTGTTTAAAAAAAAAAAAAAAAATGAATTCTGAGTTAAGTTGATATAGGTGGTTGATATAGAGGTGGATATATTTTGAGCAATTATTGTAGTATTGTAATACGAATGGAACAATTCAAAGTAATATAATCATCGTAAATCTTATGAAGAAGTTTATTAGACAAGACATCATAAACAAGCTCGTATCAGATTGTTGTGTGATATGTCTCAGTTCAGTTGGGCTCAAATTTGGCGTGTAAGGGATTGGCGTCGGAGCTTCATTCAAAAGCAGAGATACGAAGTTGTAAATCTTTTAGTAAGTCCTAATAAATAGCGATACTGGTGAATTAATTAGATTATTTAAACAAATATATTTTTAGTTTTCTTTACTGACAACTAAATTTTCTTATACAAGTGATGGCAACAATATTTAGTATATGCAGCTCGTATGTGCCATGTGAACGCACGCCATAAAACTCCTAGGAACAGCAACATGCACAGTGATGTTGCATTGGGCGAGAGGTAGCTGCATGCTGTGTATAAAGCCAAGGGACCTCGAAGGATTTTCATCGGGCCGTGCCCGGGTACGTAGAGCTCTGCTGTATGCTATCGTGTTTTAGCTGCAGCCTCTGCTAAAATGTTCGAGAGAAGCCAGAAAAAAACACAAATTATGCACGAAAATTTCAGGTATGTTCAAATTATCACCGTTAACAACCACACATCATATTTTACATCATTGAAAGCCGAAAACTCCCATTTTATAGTCAGTCTAAGCACTCCAGCGCCAGCAAAGCATTTGGAGAGTCAATGCTAATGCGTATTGACCTTTATAAGGCTTTAGCACTGCACTACGTGTAAATAGGCAGCATTTGAATACATGAATACATGAATAGTCAATACACTCACAACACAGAAATGCACACAATAATGCCGATGCGGCTGATCGTGAAGTTTGACAGTAGATCTAGACTCACAATTTGAATTTTTTAATTATTCTTTCTAACATCGGTAAAGTTAAAATATTGTATTTTACTGCTATTTAGGTGTCATCAATTGTCACTCGACTGATTTCGAGTGAAATCAGTTGAGTCTTGTACAATGTCAATGGTGTGTGAAATGTTGAGAATCGACAATAGCACAGCTTTTAATACACAGCCAGGATGTGTGACTGTCACTGTGTGCAACCGATTCAAGACTTGCCGCTGACAAAATGATGAGCGCTTGTTATTTGATCCGATTTCGCGCAGAATTTAAATGTCAAAATCTGGCTTTTTAGACTTTTTCCCAGTGCAAAGCCACACACTCTCGAGCTCTCGGGCCTGTCTAGTTATGAACGTCATGCAATGCATGACCATGAAATTGAACTGTTTCAAGGTTTTTCAAAGCTAATCTTACGATTGTTAGTCTAGTACTAGTGTAGAATGAATCTCCAAGTCCAACTTTATCTTTGGTCTGGAGCAAATCTCCTGTTTTTATGTTAAGGTTGGAAGATGTGTGAGTTGGCTTGTACTGGTTGTTGTAATTGTATTACTATCACTATTGATAATTGCTTGTATATTAAACCACTCCAGCAAAGCATAGAGTCTTCTTCCTGAAAAGTGCAGGCTTCATGAAATGAAGATTAACGCACTGTCGATGCTATTATTATGCTAATGCGTATTGACCTCTAGCGCTGAATGATTTTTCGATTTTCCCTTTTGGATTGTCTTTCACCATCATGGTTGGATAATTTAAAAAAATCAACGAGACCTACTCAGAAGAGCACATTTCAAATTTCAAGGCTCACCGATGTTTAAAAAGATACTCCTTTTTGAGTACAGACCTCTTTACAGAGTATTATCGTACTATACTGGGGGTGTGTGCAGGTGGACCACTACACTGGGGTTTCCCCCTTCTCTTATACGAATAGTGCAGTGGGTTCTTAATGTGCAAAGGTAGTGAATCTTCTCTACACAGGGCCTCCAATTAACGTCCTATCCGAGGGAGGGACGGAGTGTTTTCCACTTGACATAACCTGCGTCTATGAACAAGGGAAGGGGCACGTTAACACACAACGCAGGCTTCAGTCATCCGCCTGGGTGGGAGTCGAACCCGGGATCTTTGGTTCGACAGACGGACGCTTAACCGACTGAGCCAACTCGCCGCCTTAAGTTCAGTTCAGAAGTCTATCCAAAATTTGACCCGAAACTCCGGCATGGAGATACCCTACTCCAACATACCCAAAATGAAATTAATATTCATCAAGATCATGATTTAAAAGTCGATATGTTTTTACCTGTTTCGTGTCAATTTTCTTATCTTTTTCAGAGTATTTTCCTAAAAACAAAGACTTATAATATGCACTTTCTCTTGGGATTCACGGCAAACTGAAGCACAATACTGTCCCGACGGTCGGTGCGTGCACGTGCATGTGTTAAGTTAGCGACTGTAATCTTAGTTAAGACAAATTAATATGTGAAGTTATAGGACAGACGGATTCATGCCAGGGTTGGCTGTTAACAACAACAAATAAACTATAAGATGAAAATCTCGATCATTTTGATAAGGATAAGTTGGGAATAAACTAAATCAATTTGTGCATATTTTTATTTCAGACAGGAATAAGGAGAAACCCCAACCAGCCACTAGACAGTCTAGATACCCGAAGAGAGCAGTGAGCCGCAAGTCCTACAACAAAGAACATGTTCCTGATGGTTAGCATACAGCTTTGTAATAAATTTGTATTCTAATGAACCATGTAACCAGGGGCGTCGCTAGAACTTTTCAGTTGGGGGCAGGGGGGGGGGGGGGGGCTTATGCCAATGTCCACACATTTAACCCTATGGGGGCTTATTTTCCTATGAACTGTCTATACCTGCGCATACGCACATGGTAACTTTGCTTGACCTCATAAATATGGGTTTATTTCGTCAGGACTAGTCAGCATCGTAGCTATATAAAAAATTTGCTACCATTGTGTGCAACTATTTGATGCCTCATTGCATCATGAATGCAAAGAGCGATGCATTTGTACACAAATCTCCTGGGTTCGAAGCTCGATGGGGTAATTTTTGAACCCCTTTTTTCTTTTCTGACATCCCTTCTAGTGACGCCCTGCATGTTAAATCAATCAAATACAAATACCTTTTTGTTTTTGTTAAATTTGAATAATATTTTGCTATTTGCGACGTTTCATGAAATCAGTAAACATAACATTTAATGTTTTTATTGTGAGAAGTTGACAATATTTATGCACAGTCAATGTGATGTAAAATATTCTAAATAAAAGAGTTCTTGTTGTAGTTTTCAACCTCATTCAAAACAACTTTCTGTGTATTCCATCCGAACACATATAATGATTATTGTCTGCATAACTTTGAATCTGATGGAGATGACTTCATTAAAATATTTATAACAATTTGAACCTGTTTGTCATTCTCAATAGATTCTGAACTCTATAGATGTGAGTACTGTGGATCACTCTATGCCATTCCTCTTGTTTTAGCGAAGCATCTCAAGTACAAACATGGACACTATGGTATCCTCCCACCAGCAGGTGCACCAAAGGAAGACATTCTACAGTTCATCAAAGGAGAAATCAGAAGTACTAAAAAAAACTATGTATTTGATCAATGCGGCAAGGCATTTGATCAAATAAATAATCTCACAAAACATAAACGCATCCATACAGGTAAGAAACCCTATGAACCCATTCAATGTGGTATTAAGGCATTAAATCAACTTCAAGCTGGTGATCTCAGAACACGTAAACGCATCTATACAGGTGAGAAGCTTTATGCATGTGATCACTGTGGTAAGGCATTTAACGATGCAGGTAATCTTACAAGACATGTACGCATCCATACAGGTGAAAGGCCCTATGCATGTGATCAATGTGGTATGGCATTTAATCAAGCTGGTGATCTCACAAGACATGAACGCATCCATACAGGTGAGAAGCCCTATGCATGTGATCGATGTGATAAGGCATTTAACAATGCAGGTAATCTTACAAGACATGTACGCATCCATACAGGTGAGAAGCCCTTTGTATGTGATCAATGTGGTAAGGCATTTAATCAAGAACATGGTCTCACAAGACATGTACGCATCCATACAGGTGAGAAGCCCTATGTATGTGATCAATGTGGTAAGGCATTTAATCAAATGAATAGTCTCACAGCACATAAACGTATCCATACAGGTGAGAAGCCATTTATATGTGATCAATGTGGCAAGGCATTTGATCAAACGAATAATCTCACAAAACATAAACGAATCCATACAGGTGAGAAACCTTATGCATGTGATCAATGCAGTAAGGTTTTTAGTTATAAAAGTAATCTCATAACACATAAACGCATCCATACGGGTGAAAAGCCTTATGTATGTGATCAATGTGGTAAGGCATGTAATCAAGCTGGTGATCTCAAGAAACATAAACGCATCCATACAGGTGAGAGGCCCTATGTATGTGATCAATGTGGTAAGGCATGTAATCAAGCTGGTGATCTCACGAAACATAAACGCAGGCATACGGGTGAGAAGCCATTTATATGTGATCAATGTGGTAAGGCATATGGGGATTCATCAACGTTAAGAAGACACAAAAAGAAATGTAAATGAAATACAGAATCAATGAAGGAAAATGGTGCTCAATGTTCATCAAATGGGAAGGCTTCCCTTGTGGCAGTGTTACGCTGGGTTTTCTTTAGTAGCAGTTTTACACTGGGTTTTTTCGGTTTAAATTTTGTTTTCTCTTGTAGCAGTTTTAAGTTTGGTTTTCTCTTCTGGCAATTTTACGCTTGGTTTTTGCTTGTAGACATTTTACGTTTTGATTATCTCTTGTTTCCGTTTTACGGGTTTTTTTCTCTTGTAGCAGTATTACGTTAGGTTTTTTCTTGTAGCAGTTTGTCTGTTTCTCAGATATGTAGATATAATTATAATGGAAATTATCAGTTTTTCATGATTTCTGTTCAATGGTATATGAAGTAACGTGTTTCTATGTATGTGTACATTTCCAAGTAACTATTAATCAACTTTTATTACTTCAGGGGGGTGTTTCACAAAGATCCTAAGTTGAACTTAATTTTAAGTTGGACTTAAAAATTATGGACAGCCATTGGAGTCGTAAAATGAAATATATTCAAAAGCAGAAATTCAAGTATTTTAGACTTTTTATAAATTCCACATCCAGAACATGAAATCTCCTTGATGATAGAAAATATGAATGATTTGAATAAACAATTAATGCCTTCCAAAATAACGTTAACGACATATTTTCAAAGATGCTAATGGCTTTCCATAATTTTTCAGTCCAACTTCGAGATAAGTTCAACTTGGGATCTTTGTGAAACACCCCCCTGATGAATATAGTCTTAACATTTTGCAAACATATAGGACAATATTTTTCTATGTATTCCTGCTATGTGGCAATATTATGCAACTGTTTCAAAGTAAAGATTTGGAGGCTATCCAGTCAAATGAGTCAATCGTAGCGTATTGAGAGATATAGTTTTGACATTCATGCTCAAAGGTCAAACAGATATCCATAGCGTATTGAGAGATATAGTTTTGACATTCACGTTCAAAGGTCAATAAACAGATACCCATAGTGTTTGAGGGAGATAGTTTTGACATTCACGTTCAAAGGTCATTAAACAGACATCCATAGCGTTTGAGGGAGATAGTTTTGACATTCACATTCGAAGGTCAATAAACAGACATCCATAGCGTTTGAGGGAGATAGTTTTGACATTCACATTCGAAGGTCAATAAACAGACATCCATAGCGTTTGAGGGAGATAGTTTTGACATTCACGTTCAAAGGTCATTTAACAGATATCCATAGTGTTTGAGGGAGATAGTTTTGACATTCACATTCGAAGGTCAATAAACAGACATCCATAGCGTTTGAGGGAGATAGTTTTGACATTCACGTTCAAAGGTCATTAAACAGATATCCATAGTGTTTTATGGGAGATAGTTTTGACATTCACGTTCAAAGGTCATTAAACAGACATCCATAGCGTTTGAGGGAGATAGTTTTGACATTCACGTTCAAAGGTCATTAAACAGATATCCATAGTGTTTGAGGGAGATAGTTATGACATTCACGTTCAAAGGTCAATAAACAGATATCCATAGTGTTTGAGGGAGATAGTTTTGACATTCACGTTCAAAGGTCAATAAACAGATATCCATAGTGTTTGAGGGAGATAGTTTTGACATTCACGTTCAAAGGTCAATAAACAGATATCCATAGCGTTTGAGGGAGATAGTTTTGACATTCACATTCGAAGGTCAATAAACAGACATCCATAGCGTTTGAGGGAGATAGATTTGACATTCACGTTCAAAGGTCAATAAACAGATATCCATAGCGTTTGAGGGAGATAGTTTTGACATTCACGTTCAAAGGTCATTAAACAGATATCCATAGTGTTTGAGGGAGATAGTTTTGACATTCACGTTCAAAGGTGAATAAACAGATATCCATAGTGTTTGAGGGAGATAGTTTTGACATTCACGTTCAAAGGTCATTTAACAGATATCCATAGTGTTTGAGGGAGATAGTTTTGACATTCACGTTCAAAGGTCAATAAACAGATACCCATAGTGTTTGAGGGAGATAGTTTTGACATTCACGTTCAAAGGTCATTAAACAGACATCCATAGCGTTTGAGGGAGATAGTTTTGACATTCACATTTGAAGGTCAATAAACAGACATCCATAGCGTTTGAGGGAGATAGTTTTGACATTCACATTCGAAGGTCAATAAACAGACATCCATAGCGTTTGAGGGAGATAGTTTTGACATTCACGTTCAAAGGTCATTTAACAGATATCCATAGTGTTTGAGGGAGATAGTTTTGACATTCACATTCGAAGGTCAATAAACAGACATCCATAGCGTTTGAGGGAGATAGTTTTGACATTCACGTTCAAAGGTCATTAAACAGATATCCATAGTGTTTTATGGGAGATAGTTTTGACATTCACGTTCAAAGGTCATTAAACAGACATCCATAGCGTTTGAGGGAGATAGTTTTGACATTCACGTTCAAAGGTCATTAAACAGATATCCATAGTGTTTGAGGGAGATAGTTATGACATTCACGTTCAAAGGTCAATAAACAGATATCCATAGTGTTTGAGGGAGATAGTTTTGACATTCACGTTCAAAGGTCAATAAACAGATATCCATAGTGTTTGAGGGAGATAGTTTTGACATTCACGTTCAAAGGTCAATAAACAGATATCCATAGCGTTTGAGGGAGATAGTTTTGACATTCACATTCGAAGGTCAATAAACAGACATCCATAGCGTTTGAGGGAGATAGATTTGACATTCACGTTCAAAGGTCAATAAACAGATATCCATAGCGTTTGAGGGAGATAGTTTTGACATTCACGTTCAAAGGTCATTAAACAGATATCCATAGTGTTTGAGGGAGATAGTTTTGACATTCACGTTCAAAGGTGAATAAACAGATATCCATAGTGTTTGAGGGAGATAGTTTTGACATTCACGTTCAAAGGTCATTTAACAGATATCCATAGTGTTTGAGGGAGATAGTTTTGACATTCACGTTCAAAGGTCATTTAACAGATATCCATAGTGTTTGAGGGAGATAGTTTTGACATTCACGTCCAAAGGTCATTTAACAGATATCCATAGTGTTTGAGGGAGATAGTTTTGACATTCACGTTCAAAGGTCATTAAACAGATATCCATAGTGTTTGAGGGAGATAGATTTGACATTCACGTTCAAAGGTCAATAAACAGATATCCATAGTGTTTGAGGGAGATAGTTTTGACATTCACGTTCAAAGGTCATTAAACAGATATCCATAGTGTTTGAGGGAGATAGTTTTGACATTCACGTTCAAAGGTGAATAAACAGATATCCATAGTGTTTGAGGGAGATAGTTTTGACATTCACGTTCAAAGGTCATTTAACAGATATCCATAGTGTTTGAGGGAGATAGTTTTGACATTCACGTTCAAAGGTCATTTAACAGATATCCATAGTGTTTGAGGGAGATAGTTTTGACATTCACGTTCAAAGGTCATTTAACAGATATCCATAGTGTTTGAGGGAGATAGTTTTGACATTCACGTTCAAAGGTCAATAAACAGATATCCATAGTGTTTGAGGGAGATAGTTTTGACATTCACGTTCAAAGGTCATTAAACAGATATCCATAGTGTTTGAGGGAGATAGTTTTGACATTCACGTTCAAAGGTCATTTAACAGATATCCATAGTGTTTGAGGGAGATAGTTTTGACATTCACGTTCAAAGGTCAATAAACAGATATCCATAGTGTTTGAGGGAGATAGTTTTGACATTCACGTTCAAAGGTCAATAAACAGATATCCATAGTGTTTGAGGGAGATAGTTTTGACATTCACGTTCAAAGGTCAATAAACAGATATCCATAGTGTTTGAGGGAGATAGTTTTGACATTCACGTTCAAAGGTCAATAAACAGATATCCATAGTGTTTGAGGGAGATAGTTTTGACATTCACGTTCAAAGGTGAATAAACAGATATCCATAGTGTTTGAGGGAGATAGTTTTGACATTCACGTTCAAAGGTCATTTAACAGATATCCATAGTGTTTGAGGGAGATAGTTTTGACATTCACGTTCAAAGGTCATTTAACAGATATCCATAGTGTTTGAGGGAGATAGTTTTGACATTCACGTTCAAAGGTCATTTAACAGATATCCATAGTGTTTGAGGGAGATAGTTTTGACATTCACATCCAAATGTCAATAAACAGATATCCTTAGTGTTTGAGGGAGATAATAATAATAATAAACAATATTTATAAGGCGCTTAATACTGGTGTCTCTAAGCGCACCATATTCTGACTTAACAATTATTTACCAAAACGTATAATAAACACACAACTTATACATCTGTTCTTTATTCAATAAATCATGCATATATAATAATTAAAAATAAGATAAGAGTGAGATCAAACATACATACAAGAGGTCAAACATAGGATCAAACATAGGATCAAACATAGGATCGAACAAACAAAAAATAAGACGGTGTGCACCTCCTTTGACCGACTCACAACTGCAGAATATTATTTATGAATTGAAAAGGTGCGTTTTCAGCAAGGACTTGAATTGGTCGAGAGAATGAATATTATGAATGAAGATAGTTTTGACATTCACGTTCAAAGGTCAATAAAGATATCCATAGTATGTGAGAGAGTTATGACAAAGAAAATATTTAACTCGTCGCCCGGCTGGCAGAAGGACGTTAGCGCGCAAGCAATCGACTCGAAAACTACTTTTCGAATTATTCGCATTTAAAGATTTTTATTTTATTTCAACTGCTTTCCGTCCTGAAAATCTGTTTAAAACTTAAAGGGGAAGTCCACCCTGAAATTAAGTTAGTTTTAATAGGAGTAGAAAAATGAGAGAAACAAGTCAGTGAAAGTTTGAGCAAATTCCGATTAAAAATAAGGAAGTTAGGATTTTTGAAGTTGTGATCAATCAAACACAAATTGGCAACTCTATGACGTATCATGCGAGCTCAACTTCCATTTGCTCAGTACTAAAAAAATCTAAAATTTTCATTTTCCCTCAAGAAAAATTTCAACCATACATGCACCCTTAATATAATAATTGCAAATATGTTTCTATACTCCCCCTGCAAGGAACAAATATATATTCCGTCATCAATAACGAAGAAAACATGATTTTATGGAATATTATGCACAAAGCAAATGAAGGAGAGCTCGTATAATAAGTCACAGAGTTGCCAATTTGTATTTGATTGATCACAACTTCAATAATTCATAACTATCTTATTTTCATTCAGAATTTGCTCAAACTTTCACTCACCTGATTTTCTTATTATTCTGCCTCTATTGAAACAAACTTATTTTGGGGGTGGACTTTCCCTTTAAAAGACTAATAGAAAATAAGGTTATAGTAGAACACGGCCACACATTTGTGTAGGTTATTGAAATGTTTAAACTTATGGACAGATTAATATGATATTTGTTATTTGCTGTTTTTCATATTGAAGATTATTGAATCTTCAGCATTGGTTTTTGAAGACGACTTGTATTAAATTTGAGGAACATCAAGTTAACATGATTGCTTGTTTTGTCATTGGAACAAAGGCTCAATTATTATAACGTTCCCGGAAGCGTTATTTTCTTCAGCGGCATAGATTGGGGCTTTTTTTTTAAAAAAAGGTCTTGATTTAACCCTTACCCTTAACCTAACCCTAAACTTTCCCATAGGCTCAACACGCATCTAACCCCAATCTGTGCCGCCGAAAAAAATAAATCTTCCCGGAAATGAAAAAGAGAAGCGACTTTTTAGAACATGACTTGTGACCATGAGTAGAGAAGGAAGGGTGAAGGAGAGGAAGGGAGGGAGAGAGGTACATAAGGGTAGGAAGGGTGAGGAAGCAGGGGGGTGGGGTAGGGGTTTAACCCCCCCCCCCCCCTTTGACTGCCAAGTAAAAATGTGATGTGCATAGAAAAGTGCCATCATGTGTCCAAATCCAACATTAGATGCCAGGAAACCATCACTTAAGGGGCTTCAAAATAGGAACAACAAAAAAATTGCTACGCTGCTCGTGGACGATGCTCCACATCGTATTTGGGTTAAAGTTAACCCCCCCCCCCCTTTAGCAAAAAGCTAGATCCGCCCCTGGGAGGGAGTGGGAGAGAGAGAGACGCACATAATGAGTAGGAATGAGAGGGAGAGAGAGAAAAAAGGAGATATGGGCGGGAGAGAGGGAGTTTGGATGGAGTAGGAGAGAGTATTGGGGGGGGGCACTAGGATTATAAATACAAAAAGCTTAGAATAGCGGAAATTAAGATTGTGGGAAAGATAGATAGAGGAGAGGGGTATGTGAACCAAGGAAAATATCTTTATTGTATTGGAAGAAGAAAAAAGTATATAACGTGTTTGAATGAGTGCAATAAGCGACTGATAATCCTTGCTGAAATATCGCATCATTATTATATATATATATATTTTATTTCTACATAACACATAATTATATATAAACCACTACCCTGTGTATCTTAAAATTAAAATTCTGTTTTTACAAAACGTATTTTGAATAATATTCTGACGGCGGACCATTTTATATTTTTCTTTTTTCAAAGTCATCGACATCTATCAAACTAAAATTACTTTACCTCGAATCATTAAAAAAAAAGGTTGTTTTGGAATATTTTGTTATTTCTTTCAATTCAATACTTTCAATATACTGTTCTGGCATGGTGAGGGCCCCGTCGGCCGTCTTACAAAGATATGATCGCAACTTATTTGATTATTTTATCGATGATCGCAATTCGCAAATCTGTAGATAGAGACTCGGTGCAAACTTGATTGGAGGACTTGCGATTGGTTTGGATCAATCGCGATTAACACTTTGTAATCCGGGTCCATGCAGCTATAGGCCTATCAGCTATGGACGGGGCTGGGCGGGGGTCGGAGAGGGGCTCCCGCCCCCACCCCCTTTATAAAGAAAATTTCATGCATCACATTTTAAACACAGAAGAAGAAAAAAAAATCGCTCAAATCGAAAACGCATATTGGGATGGATAAAGTGATGGGGGGGGGGGGGGGGGGCTTCATAACGATGATAGATAAGAGATATATAGATCTAGGAGAAAGGGGTACGAATTAGTGATTAGAATTAGGTGCCTATTCATGCAGTGGGAGAAAGGGGATGCATATTCCATCACTTTGCCACCAAAATCATGCATTCTAAACCCCTAACAACTGGATGATGTTGTTATGAGATAAATACCGACCTCACAACAAACGATAATTAAATGGCTATTAATTATTCACATATCACAGCCCTCGATCGCACATCTTTGGTCGACCTTTGACCTGAACCCTGGGCTCTCGTCGTAAACAGCATGCCACGCGCGCGACGAGCAGACTACTCAGGTGTACGTGTACTGCTAATCTCCACACTGCACTGCCACACCGTTCATCATCACTTCAAATATCTATTATTTCTTCATTCAGGTGAGTTAACTCGAAGATCTGAATTCTGTAACTGTAAGCATGATTTAATCCTAAGATTCGTACTATGCAGACTTGCACTTGTACAACTAAATTATCTAAAAATCTGCATGACACCTAGACTAGAATAGATCTAGCGGAGCGCTGCAAACAAATGCACACACGAATAGTCAATACATAGGTCTACACAAAACACAGATGCACGCTAAAACAATGAACACGATGTGGCTGATCGGCAAGTTTGACAGAGTCTAGACTTACAATTTTAATGTTTAAATTATTCTTTTTAACATCGGTAAGTTATTTTTTTTTTGTATTTTACTGTAATTTAGGTGTCACTAAAGAGCACAGTGCCTATTTTTAGTGAAATTAGTTGAGTTTTGTACAGTTGTGTTTGAATTAGCCTAGAATAATGTTGAGAATTTTTTAATACACAGCCAGGATAGTAAGTAGTAGGCCTACTATGAAGGGGTGACCAAAGTTCGCGGACATTTTAGAACATATTACAAAATGTGATATTCGAACTACGATTTCTCATATTCTACACAAATTTATTGATTTCAATTATAACCAAAGGGACGGCGAAGTTTTTAACTACAGATTAGTTCAACTAGAAAATTTTATCGTCGAAGGATTTCGGAGATATCGCGATCTAAAAATTCGATGTCCGATCGTTCGTGCACGCTGCATCTAAAAAAGTCATAAAAACAACGAGACCTAACTTCACGCACGAAGGTTTACAGTTGATTTATCAAAAAGTGTGATCCATCAAAAATAAGGTAATATCATAATTTGCAAGGCAAGATATCATACAATCAGTTAGTACCACTCTTTACTTACAATTTTGAGGAAATCTGCTCTCAAATTGAAGATTTTCAGACCCTTATCGGTAAGTTGATCATTTTTCGGAACGGACGCAAAATATTGCAAAATTTGCCGATCTTTTGTCAATATTTTCACAATTTCGTACCCAATTCCAAAGAAAATTTCACTTCTGGGTAATTTTATGTTCCTCTTTCCATTGGTGATATCAGATTTTCGTAATCTTACTGATTTTTTGAGATAGCGAACTTAGGTCACGCGCGAACTTTGGTCACACCACCATACCTAATGCAGAGCTGCCAAGTCTCCCGGATCCTGCGGGAGACTCCCGGATTTTGACCCAATATCCCGTTTTCCCGACCCCATGCAAAAATCTCCCGGATTTCCAGATTTTAAGTTGTATTATTTTCATAAACGACTGTTTCACAAGACTAGCATGTTGAGTTCGTACGTACGTATACAAACACACGGCAATTCTGTAATATGAATTTTCCTGTTATCCAGTCGTCGAATATAAATTTACCGTGATATCGTACTTTATTTAACAGCGTAATAAATGAGAGTTACGCCGAACGACTGGCGGGCTAATCTAACAAACCATTGGGAACATGTGATAATGTGAGTGGTGTTTGTGTGATAGCAATTCGCCTGCTTGCTCTGCCGGGCGGCTTCCTCGCCGGCCCCCGTAGCGTCCCGGTACGTTGGTGCCGGTTTCCGATCGGTCGCGTCAGAGCAGCCAGAAGTTGCACTGATACAACAAGCAGACTTTGTCTGCTGCGATCGGCCCAAAAAACTGCACATTTCAACATCAGTTTTTGGATGGATTTGGGGACTTTTGCGATGTGATTTTTAAGTGGATTATCATTTGATACCAACATGGCAGTGTTACTGCAGAGTGGATTTTGAAGCCGACTTTTTTTTTCTGATCTCCTTTGCCGTTGGGAACGCATCGATATAACTTGCATCTTCCGAAGGCGTAAGTCAACTTTGTCCAAAACAAGGCTGTATTTTGCTCTCTGTTTGAGTATTAAAATATCATCCAGGACAATGTCGAAGTCGAAATATTATCAGAAATATAAAGATGACTACCACTTGGAATGGCCTTGTGTTGGGAAATCTACGAAAGGCGAATACTACGCATTTTGTACAGTTTGCGGCGCAGATATCTCCATCAAGAGTGGGGGAAGAAATGATGTATTTCGCCACATCACATCTGACAAACACAAGCAAACCGCGAAAGCAAGGGGCAATACAAAAGGAATACAGAGCTTTTTCAGGTTAGTATGAACAGTTCTTAGATTTGTAAAATCGAGAAATAGTCTACCCCTCTATACCATAGACCTGAGTTCATTTCGTCAGTAGTTGGGGACCTCATTAATCTCCCTAAAACTTAGACTTACTCATAAACACGTGTGCGGGACTTGAAGGGTGGATTTTCTCACGATTTTATGTTTTTATTTGAAATACTAATCTGCACGTTGACTGTTTTATGCCAGTATCATGAACTTTAATAGTTTGTTAGGTTACACACATTGCAAGACAATAGCATCATTTTTATGAATTACTTCCTCAAATACAGTAACAAGATCTTTGATGACATCAACCTACTCCTACAGAGAGAAGAACCCTGCATTCACATTCTTAATAAGCAGCTTAATAAAACCTTCCAAGATATGCTTGTTAGATTCGTGCAGCCAACAGTGATTGTTGAATGTTCTGATGTCAAGAAAGTGCAGTATGGTAAGAGAGATTGCCAGAAGTCAGATAAAGATCTAATGATTGGAAAAGATGCCAAGGAATACCTGGAGAGTACAACAAGCCCAGAAGATGATTCTCCCCTTCGTCTTACAGATGCTGATTTGACATACTTCTACTTGTCGGTGAGGAAGTATTATGAATCAGCATGTGACTATGCCTTGAAAACCTGGCCACTAGATGTTAAGTTCCTTAAGGAGGCTGAAGTGATTGATGTCAGTTCCAGAAGAGATGTGTCATTTTCATCTGTGCAATACTTTGTTGAAAAGTACCCTTGCATTTTGAACAGACAATCAGAGAATGGAGACCTGGACAAGCTTGAGCTGGAATTTGCACAATACCAGGTTGAAGACTTTTCAGGGGAACCAGAGATCCTGAACAAAAACTTGAGAATAGACAAGAAATGGTCTGCAATTTCAAAGATGGAGGATGGCAATGGCTCAAAGAAATACACACTTCTGAGCAAAGTGATGAAATCTTTGCTTGTGATACCACATTCCAATGCTTCATGTGAAAGAGTTTTTAGCATTGTTAGGAAGAACAAAACTGATTTCAGGGGATCAATGAATTTGAAAACACTTCAAGCACTCCTAACAGAGAAAATTGCCAACACAGATGTCCCATGCTACCAAAGGGAGTATAGCAAGGACCTCCTTAGCAAACTCAAGCAAGCAACCTACCAGTCACTTCAAGGAAAACCCTCAAGCACACCCCAGTCCTTGCCTTCCACAAGTACATCCCCCATTTCACAATAGAGGTAACAGGAGTTCATAGTCTGAAATATGATGTGAAGTTCATATGTTATCAATTGTATGCAAATAAAATGTGCCATATCAAAGCCTTCCATTTTGAGAAATCATTGAAAAAATGTGTTCTAAAAGGGTTTCAAAGAGGCTTAAAACCAAGAGCTTTTGGGGGCCTGCCCCCTGCCCCCCCCCCCCCCACCAGGGGCACTAAAAGGCCATTCTTGGTTCCCGCCAACAATGAAGTCGTTCGATGCTGCTCTCTCAGAAATCTCCCTGATTACCCAAATCAAATGTTGGCAGCTCTGCTAATGCAGCGCGCAGCTATGTGTGCACGACATACATTGGATATAGGCCTAGGTCTACTGCACACGAGGCCTACAGCAAAGCATAGAGTCATAAAGGTAACCCGACACATGCTCCGGCGACAATTGCTCCGCAACAGTTGTTCCGCCGACATCCCGCCGACAGTTGCTCCACCTACAAATAATTGCTCCGCCGACACTTGCTTTGCCGACAATTTGCTCCGCCGACAATATTTCTTTCATGGGTTATTTTTTGTTTTTGTTTTATTGTTGTTATTCAGGGACATAGCCAGCATTTTGAGGAGAGAGAATGGGAGATGCGTTTTAATTCCCCGATCAGTAGACACTGATGGAAGAAAAAGAAGTGATTAACCTTTGCGAAAGACGCAATCCTTTTTTGGGGGGGGGGGGGGAAGGGAGCAGGTGCAGAAGCTTTTAAGTAATATATAAACTTTTCACAATAATGAGTATCTAACAGAGTTTTCTTGCTGCGGGACGTGTCGGGCACATTCATAGTTAAGGCGATGTCAATTTCATTTTTAGCGAGCGGGCGGTTTTAAGCTTATTTTACATTGAATAGCATCTACCTGCCTTCGACCCTTCTTCGTCTGACTTACTGGTACAAATGAAGGTCAGAAATCTACAGAATTTACATTTTTGGATATCATTGTTGAAGCAAAAATTATTATCTAAAGATCATAATGGTGAGAGCAACCAGTGGCATGAATGACCTGCCATTGTTAAGTCCAACTTAAATTTGATCTTAGAATTAGTCTTTGTGAAACACCCCCCTGGGTCCTGTTTCACAAAGCCTTTTTTCAATGACAAATGACTAAAATCAGTGACAAATCTGATAACCAATCAGAAGCGAAGATTTCAAAAGCTTAAATAACAAAAACTGTCATTTGTCACTGATGACAAGTTTTGTGAGACACCCCCCTGGTCTAACTCAAAAGACTATTATTAGACTCCTTTTCCGCCTTTTCCTCCCCACAGGTAACGCCCTATTGCCACCATGCCTCTACCAGCAAATGATGATTATTCAGCCGTCCAGGCTTACTTCACAGCTAAGGAATGGGCAGAGACGAGCGACTATGAGAAACTTCGTCTCAAGAACATCAAAGAAAACTATGAGATGTTGCTTGAAGTTGGTATGTAGTCATCCATCGGAAACAAGATCACAAGGATCTAAAGCCTTTTCGACCAATATTCTAGTAATTCCTTTTTTGTTGTTGATTTGATTTGATTTGAATCGATATAGTTCGATTTTACTTCATAATTCTCGTTCGAGAATATATGAGAGCCCGCCCGCGCATGCGCAATCATTATCGTTCCGCATATTTTACTAGTGCGTTCACTAGTATTTTCGTAGCGCAAATCCTTCGAAATCTTCGCAATCGCAAAGTTATTCGGATTTTTTTGGACATTTATACTTCCATTCATAAATGCTCCAAGATACTTTATTTTTTATTTCTTTTATAAAATAACTATTGATTTGAACTTTACATCAAATCATCTTGATGGTGAGAGAACATTTTAAGAATATATCAAATTTAAAACTTAGATTTCTTGAATATTGAACCCTTTGCGGCTTTTTATCTAGAATAGCTAAATTGTATATGGTGATTGAAATTCATAATACTTGTTTCCATAATTATCAGTCTATATTTTTGCTCTTGCTTTGTTTTATTTTGTATTGTACTTTTTATTGTTTATCCAGTTGCCCATTTTTTCACAATGTATAAAAAAAATAGAATAAATAATAAATAAAATGTGTTTTATATGCAGGACTACAGGTCGACAGTCCCCCGGATTTCATGCGACCTCGTCGTGGAAGAAAGAAACAGATCGTAGAGGAGAGTGATAGCAAGGATGAGGAGTGGAAGCAGAAGAAGGCCAAGAAAAAGTCAATAGGTTGGTCTAAGTTTCTCTGTCTAAATTTTACATGTAACACCATAGCAAACACATTTTAAACAAGCAAGCGTAGTGAGCGAGCTTTGGGGGACATTGCTCTTAGTCACTTGAAATTAGGGGCACGTTTAATGATGAGAGGAAAAGAGGACACTTATCGAAAGGGTAAAGACACTTATTTGAAAATGAGGCATTTTTAAAAGGTGGAAACGGGAAGGGGCACTTGTCAAAGTAAAAGGGGCACTTTTGGGGTACTTGAAAAAGTGGGGGAGTCACTGTGCCCCCACCCTCCCCCCCCCCCCAGAGCGCCGCCTCTGAGGCATTGATCCACATTTCTAGTCCCTCGGAGAGGAGTTAAAGCCGTCGGTCAATGGTTGTTTACTTACAAGCATATACATGATTTCGTAGCAGTCAGGTCAAACAATCGTTGATTATCACTTTATATTGAATCTTAATAATACATAAGATTTGTAAGGCGCCAAGTCCACTTGAAAATCAAATGCTCAAGGCCTCTTGATGAATTTAGAGAACATTTCAAGAACATACCAAATTTCAAACATATCTTCAGACCTGCCAACCTCTGGAGTTCAAAAACTGTATTCTTTAGTGTTAAAAGTTGTATTTTACTGACAAAAGTTGTATTCTTGAAAATAAACACGGATTGTTACGCGGATCAATGCCTCTTACAGTTTCTACCTACAGGAAGAATTTTTTTTATTGATCATTGGTTGAATATGCATTATTTTGTCATGACTGGTGTGTTCGATGAACCAATAAACATCCCCAAATTGCCTATGTAAGATGCTTGTAGGATACTTTACAGGACAGAATGGACGTTTTGCCATTGAAAATGGCAGACGCACACACAAAATATTAATATTAAAAAAAAAAAATAATAAAAAATTGTTTTTTTTTTTTTTTTTTTTTTTTAAATCGTATTTTATTAAGGAAAATCGTACTGTCGTATTTGCTTCTAAAAATCGTACTGGTTGGCAGGTCTGTATCTTTTCAACGCAGGCATACAGGTCAGTCCCTCAGAGTTCATGCGTCCTCGTCATGGAAGAAAGAAACAGATCGTAGAGGAGAGTGATAGTGAGAATGAGGAGTGCAAGCAGAAGAAGGCCAAGAAAAGATCAAGAGGTTGGTCTAAGTTTCCCTGTCTAAATTTTAACACCGTAGCAAACACATTTTAAACAGAGTGAAATTGCTTTGTATAAAACTAATTGATTGACATAGAAATTCTTTATCAAATTATGTATAATGTACATTCAGCATTGCATTCATAAATCAGGAGAAAAATAGAGAGAAAGAGGAAAGTCACCTAAAACTATAAACAAGACCAAATAACCATTGTTTTATCTCTTTATAGGGTTAATGATATTTCCACATGTTTTGTACAAAAATCACTAAAAATTAGCAATGTTGGAGCTGACAAGACAAAAGATTACATGACTTTGTAACGGTAGGTCAGTTTTAAAAAAAAATTGATTTAAAGGATGTGCAAGACTCAAAATAAAAATAGTCACCAACTGACGGGGCATCATGCATCCTTACGCGTTCCCCAACAATCGGGAAAATGGCAGAGGTTGCCGGGTGGGCCATAATGGATCTGGACAGAGGGGGCCGGGTGGGCCATAATGGATCTGGATATAGGGGGCCGGGTAGGCCATAATGGATCTGGACAGAGGGACCGGGTGGGTCATAATGGATCTGGATAAAGGGGGCTGGGTGGGCCATAATGGATCTGGATACAGGGGGCTGGGTGGTCCATAATGGATCTGGATAGAGGGGGCTGGGTGGTCCATAATGGATCTGGATAGAGAGGGACCGGGTGGGCAATAATGGATCTGAATAGAGGGGGCCGGGTGGGCCATAATGGATCTGGATAGAGGGGGCTGGGTGGTCCATAATGGATCTGGATAAAGGGGGCTGGGTGGTCCATAAAGGATCTGGATAGAGGGGGCCGGGTGGGCCATAAAGGATCTGGATAGAGAGGGCTGGGTGGGCCATAATTGATCTGGATAGAGGGGGCCGGGTGGGCCATAATGGATCTGGATAGAGGGACCGGGTGGGCCATAATGGATCTGGATAAAGGGGGCTGGGTGGGCCATAATGGATCTGGATACAGGGGGCTGGGTGGTCCATAATGGATCTGGATAGAGGGGGCTGGGTGGTCCATAATGGATCTGGATAGAGAGGGACCGGGTGGGCAATAATGGATCTGAATAGAGGGGGCCGGGTGGGCCATAATGGATCTGGATAGAGGGGGCTGGGTGGTCCATAATGGATCTGGATAAAGGGGGCTGGGTGGTCCATAAAGGATCTGGATAGAGGGGGCCGGGTGGGCCATAAAGGATCTGGATAGAGGGGGCTGGGTGGGCCATAATGGATCTGGATAGAGGGGGCCGAGTGGGCCATAAAGGATCTGGATAGAGGGGGCCGGGTGGGCCATAATGGATCTGGATAGAGGGGGCTGGGTGGTCCATAATGGATCTGGATAGAGGGGGCCGAGTGGGCCATAAAGGATCTGGATAGAGAGGGACCGGGTGGGCCATAAAGGATCTGGATAGAGGGGGCCGGGTGGGCCATAAAGGATCTGGATAGAGGGGGCTGGGTGGACCATAATGGATCTGGATAGAGGGGGCCGAGTGGGCCATAAAGTATCTGGATAGAGGGGGCCGGGTGGTCCATAATGAATCTGGATAGAGGGGGCCGGGTGGGCCATAAATGATCTGGATAGAGGGAGCCGGGTGGGCCATAATGGATCTGGATAGAGGGGGCCGGGTGGGCCATAATGGATCTGGATAGAAGGGGCTGGGTGGGCCATAATGGATCTGGATAGAGGGGGCCGGGTTGGCCATAATGGATCTGGATAGAGGGGGCTGGGTGGGCCATAATGGATCTGGATAGAGGGGGCTGGGTGGGCCATAATGGATCTGGATAGAGGGGGCCGGGTTGGCCATAATGGATCTGGATAGAGGGGGCCGGGTGGTCCATAATGGATCTGGATAAAGGGGGCTGGGTGGGCCATAATGGATCTGGATAGAGGGGGCCGGGTTGGCCATAATGGATCTGGATAGACATTAACTGTTTCTTGTATTGTGTCTTACTAGTTACAACTTCCCCAACCAAAGCACTGACAGTATTAACTGAAATGGCATGAACAGATAAACTTAAGGGAAACAACTGAAAAAAACTTGACATATTGTGTAGTCATTGTCAGGCTATCCCACAATAACTGAAGTGTATTATTGTGTTATTTGTTTGTAATGGGATTCAAGAGGGATGACAGACAAAAAAATATGTGAAGTTATAGGACAGACGGATTCATGCCAGGGCTGGCAGTTAACAACAACAAAATAAAACTAGAAATTTAATTCGTCATGGGGACGAATTAGGTGGTCTGTCTTCACTTCTTATGATAGATTTCAGAATGGGAGAAGTTATATAGACATGTAAACAATGATGATGATCATGTTGATAATGGTCATGATGATGGTGATGATGATAATGGCGATGATGACGATGATAATGATGATTATGATGATGATGATCATCATCATGATGATGTTGATGAGGATGATTATCATCATTATGATAATGATGATGATCATAATCATGAGCGTGATTCTGACTTCTTATCGGAAAAGTGAGGGGTGATTTAGATAACATATAGTCTCAGCGACAACATAATAAAATTTGGGAGAAAAACTGTTGAATAACAACCGAGATACTGGTCAAAACACATTGTCATGCAGAATCAAGTTTTGAAAAAATTGACCTTCCATAGACATAACACGCAAATATGACAAATTATGCATTGTCGCCTTTAATCGAATATTTCACTGTGATGACGTCATCCAAATGAAAAATAAATGACATATTTCTAGTAGGAAATTATCTCAGCTACAACATAATCAAAATCCGGAAGAAAATCGATCACCGATAAGCGAGATAATCTCAATTAAACAAAGATAAAAATGACGTCATCAACAAAATACATTTTTTAAGTTTAGATGCCAATATGAAGACTTTGTTTCACTTTGTACGAGTCAGGGTGGTATTAGGAACTTTTAGATTTGCGTGGACTGATACGTGTGACGTCCATTCAAGGCAGTGTTTTAAAAGGATGTCGATCGTAGCAATCCACGTAGTCGTCGTGCAAATTTAAAAGTCCCTATTAAATCATATCTCCAACTCATGCTTTTTCCAACCATGATATAGAAATTGGGGGTCGACGGACTATCTGAAGAGCTATTTCGATTTTTAAAATGGCATGTTTTTGATCAAATGTACATTATATTGCCCATAGCAGCACGCGCGGATTTTGAACTTTGACGCGCGCTCACGGCCTTATGAAAGGTCAAGAGTGACTGAAATTCATGTAAATTGTCAATTACGGTAAGAGGAATCCAAATCATGTAAAAAAAGAATGAATTTGACCTTTTCCGCGCGCTGTAAGCGCGCACAGCGCGCGCAGGGACACGTACACACAGAAAATTTTGAAATGCTTAAAATGATCTGATTCGTACTCTTGTTTAACAGTTAAGTGATTTTGAGCAATTTTAAATTTTGACGCACGCGTTTGCGCGCATCATGACCTTTGTTTGATGAGAATCGGGACTGAGTGCGTAACAGCAGCTCTCATCCCCTCTCAAGTGCTATCTCTTTTATATTGAACCTACTGCATGTTATCCAATTATCCTGGAACTACATCTTTTATTTAACTCAAGAATTCTACAGGACCGTTTTGGGGAAAGAATTCACCCTTGTTTTAGCAACAGATATGGAACTTTGAAAATGGGATCTGCCATGTTGAGTATGTGAAAGCTGTAGCCATTTTCTACCCAGGAAGTTATTGATCACTCAAGCGGACCCTGCTAGCCAGACTGATAATGCCAGGATCAAACTTCACAATGAAGGCTTTGTGTTTTTTGTGTGTTGTTCTTTTGACAGCCACCAACCTATTCATTGGTGGGGTACATGAGAACTTGCTTCTAAGAAGCCCTGTTGTTAGGAAGCCATATGCTATCGATGTTAATACCAAATCCAAGAGCATCTTCTGTTGTAGAAGAATTGCATACTACAGCAACAGTGACTGCACATTTAGGTTAGAACTTTTGAAATCAGGCGATATTCAATCTAACCCTGGTCCTGATGCTGGAAAGGAAATATCAGCAAATTATTCTTGTGCTATAGCCCCTCGAACATCACCACACCAGTGTTCTCCTAACTCAGGACCTTATAAACGTCAAACCCTTTTGGATATTCAAAGCCATGTTAATTATCGGTTAGAAAACAAAGTTTGGGCAAATATCAAATCTATTGAAATAAATGCAAGACCGAAAATTAAACGAGGTCACAAAGGAGGCAGGAATAGACGCACAAAATGTGTAACTGTAGAACGCCCCTTCGACAAGTAGTGGTTTACAGGCCGCAGAGAACTCAGAACCATCAACAGACAGCGTCTTTATTCATTCATGAGTTTTCATCATATTTGGAGCTCCTTGTGTCTGATCCAAGTAGACTTTTAATCACTGGCGATTTCAATTTTCATGTGGATGATGAGCAGAATAGGGAGGCCTAAGCATTCATGGAGCTGATCAGTTCTTTCGACTTAGTACAACATGTCGCAGGTTCTACTCACGAACGGGGGCATACACTAGACTTGGTCTTGTCACGTGCTTCGGATGACCTTGTCAGCAATGTAGCAACCACAGAATACTTACCATCCGATCATGCTGCTGTCACCTGTTCACTGAGCACGAGAAAACCAGATCCTGTCAAGCTACGAATTACCACACGTAAAATAGATGCGATTGATGTTGACACATTTTGTAGGGACATTCTTGAGTCAGAATTGTATACTCATCCTTCTTCTGACTTAAACACTCTAGTAAATCAGCATGATCATGTTCTTAGAGATCTTTTGGATAAGCATGCTCCCCTCCTGTCGAAGGAAATAACCTGTCGACCTAATGCACCTTGGTATAATGATGAACTACGAAAAGCTAAACAAAACCTGAGACGTTTAGAACATAAAAAACGATCTTCTGGGCTTGAGGTTGATAATCAGAACTTTAAGTTTTTTAGTAGCCAGTACTGTCTGTACGAGAAGCTAAGAAAAACTTTCACGTCAG